AGGCAAACACAAACACAAACTGCAAAGGCAAAGGCAAAGGCAAACACAAACACAAACTGCAAAGGCAAAGGCAAAGGCAAACACAAACACAAACTGCAAAGGCAAAGGCAAAGGCAAACACAAACACAAACTGCAAAGGCAAAGGCAAACACAAACACAAACTGCAAAGGCAAAGGCAAAGGCAAACACAAACACAAACTGCAAAGGCAAAGGCAAAGGCAAACACAAACACAAACTGCAAAGGCAAAGGCAAACACAAACACAAACTGCAAAGGCAAAGGCAAAGGCAAACACAAACACAAACTGCAAAGGCAAAGGCAAACACAAACACAAACTGCAAAGGCAAAGGCAAAGGCAAACACAAACACAAACTGCAAAGGCAAACACAAACACAAACTGCAAAGGCAAAGGCAAAGGCACACACAAACACAAACTGCAAAGGCAAAGGCAAAGGCAAACACAAACACAAACTGCAAAGGCAAAGGCAAAGGCAAACACAAACACAAACTGCAAAGGCAAAGGCAAAGGCAAACACAAACACAAACTGCAAAGGCAAAGGCAAAGCAAAGGCAAAGGCAAAGGCAAACACAACACAAACTGCAAAGGCAAAGGCAAACACAAACACAAACTGCAAAGGCAAAGGCAAAGGCAAACACAAACACAAACTTCAAAGGCAAAGGCAAAGGCAAACACAAACACAAACTGCAAAGGCAAAGGCAAACAAAAACACAACAAAGGCAAACACAAACTGCAAAGGCAAAGGCAAACACAAACACAAACTGCAAAGGCAAAGGCAAAGGCAAACACAAACACAAACTGCAAAGGCAAAGGCAAAGGCACACAAACACAAACTGCAAAGGCAAAGGCAAACACACAACACAAACTGCAAAGGCAAAGGCAAAGGCAAACACAAACACAAACTGCAAAGGCAAAGGCAAAGGCAAACACAAACACAAACTGCAAAGGCAAAGGCAAAGGCAAACACAAACACAAACTGCAAAGGCAAAGGCAAAGGCAAACACAAACACAAACACAAAGGGATACCTGAGCAAAGTTATTCGTTGTTCAAGAAGGTTCTCTAGCAGCTTATTGATTTCCGAGGCTTGAACGCCACGCCCTTGGAGCCTGGAGGAACAGGAAAATCCATGACCCTCACGTCGTATCCGGCCGTGCGGTTCCCTCACTCTCGCAATACTGTGGATGGACGAAATCCTGCACCACTTGGAAACCATTGGAAGCCACTTCATTGTTGGTATTGACAGAGGAATCATCATTCCAAGGTTTCTTTTAGGTGGTGCAGGATTTCGCCCATCCACAATCCACAGTATGCCTCCTCTAGTTGTAGTCTCCGGGATTAAAAAAAAAAACAAACAAACAAAACAAAACACACATCGGCACAGTAAGCTCATGTTTTAACCGCAGCCCTGAGATATGCCTGTGCGTCAAAAATTAATCGGTAACCCCAACATGGAACCGTAAATGAAAACATGGACTAAAATCCGCGGTCCGATTCCTGATGGTTTTAATTTTGACCCGTGCCCATATAAGGGCCCCGGCTCAAGGCGCTGGATTTTCACCTCGCCTCTGCCGGCTCCACCAGCTCCATCGTGGACTCTGCCTACATGGGCCCGCGGTTGCTCACTGCCCGGAGGCTCCAATTCGAGGATTTTTGGGCCCTCAACAGGGATCGCGAAATGTATCTTTTAAGGAGCCCTGCTCAAACAGCCAGGTTTTAGAAGGTTGTGGGTGGCTGAGTTTTGCCGCTGTTGGCTCGACTCAAAAAGAAAGCAGTGGCACATGTCGAACAGGGCATCTTTGAACTCGGGGGCCAGCTGCTTCTAGCGCAACAGAAGAAGGGCTAGGTCCGCCAGTTTTGGAGGTTAGAATAAGGGCACCAACCTTTTGCTGTCTATCTTAGTAGGGAAACCCTCCCAACCAAAAAAGGGTCAAAGGGCACCAATTGCTGGGGGACCCAGAGGGGTTCCATGGACACCTCCACTGGAACTGCAAGGGGCATGGGGCAGCGTTGCCGGTTCGCAAGGGCGCTGGTGGCTTTTGCAGTCGGGTGCTGGTTGACACTGAAATGGCGAAGTTGGCTAAAGGGCGAAGAAGGAAATGGCACGCCGAATGCAAACTATGAGCTACCTAAACCTGCTTGAAAAATACAGAGCCAGCCACTGTTGGGTGTCTTACGGCCAAAAGGGGAAAAAGGTTCCCACCAAGATATCTGTCAAAATGGGTCTAAATCCCAATGGGGCCCCTTTGGCGCGCAAAAACCAACACTTGCCTTGGCCTCCCGTTCAAGTTGGCCTCCGATGGTTTTTTCGCGACCACCCTCAAGACCCTACAGAGACCCCAAAACGGACCAGAAGTCCCGTGCCCTTTGCGGGCCTCCTGCCCAGGGTAAAACCAGTGGCTCAAACATGCGCCAAACCTGAGAGGAAAACTGCACATCATCAGCTTCCTTTCAATTGGTCGTTTGGAGCCCGTGGCTTGGTAGTGTGAAACTCTCATCTACCCTGCAAGATCCAGGTGTTCAAACTCCCAGTTCAAACCACCAACTAAGGATGGCTTCGCATGGAGGCCTTCCAACTAGGGGTTAACTACCTGATTACACGTTAGAAGCAGGGGCATGGCTTCGCATGGAGCCTTCCAACTATGGGTTAATTACCTGATAAGACGTTAGAAGCAGGGGCATGGCTTCGCATGGAGGACTTCCAACTAGGGGTTAATTTCCTGAGAAGACGTTAGATGCAGGGGCATGGCTTCGAATGAAGGCCATCCAACTAGGGGTTAATGTCCTGATAAGACGAGAGATGCAGGGGCATGGCTTCGCATGGAGGCCTTCCAACTAGGTGTTAACTTCCTGATAAGACGTTGCATGGCTTCGCATGGAGGCCTTCCAACTAGGGGTTAATTCCCTGATTACAGGTTAGAAGCAGGGGCATGGCTTCGCATGGAGGCCTTCCAACTAGGGGTTAATTACCTGATAAGACGTTACAAGCAGGGGCATGGCGTCGCATGGAGGCCTCCCAACTAGAGGGGACTTACCTGATAAGACGTTAGAAGCAGGGGCATGGCTTCGCATGGAGGCCTTCCAACTAGGGGTTAATTACCTGATAAGACGTTAGAAGCAGGGGCATGGCGTCGCATGGAGGCCTCCCAACTAGAGGGGACTTACCTGATAAGACGTTAGAAGCAGGGGCATGGCTTCGCATGGAGGCCTTCCAACTAGGGGTTAATTCCCTGATTACACGTTAGAAGCAGGGGCATAGCTTCGCATGGAGGCCTTCCAACTAGGGGTTAATTACCTGATAAGACGTTACAAGCAGGGGCATGGCGTCGCATGGAGGCCTCCCAACTAGAGGGGACTTACCTGATAAGACGTTAGAAGCAGGGGCATGGCTTCGCATGGAGGCCTTCCAACTAGGGGTTAATTCCCTGATTACACGTTAGAAGCAGGGGCATAGCTTCGCATGGAGGCCTTCCAACTAGGGGTTAATTACCTGATAAGACGATAGAAGCAGGGGCATGGCTCGCATGGAGGCCTTAGATTACCTGATAAAATAGAAGCAGGGGCATGGCTTCGCATGGAGGCCTCCGCATTTCCAACTAGGGGTTTTCCAACTATGGTTAATTACCTGAAAAGACGTTAGAAGCAGGGGTATGGCTTCGCATGGAGGCCCTTCCAACTATTGGTAAATTACCTGATTACGCGTTAGAAGCAGGGGCATGGCTTCGCATGGAGGCCCTTCCAACTAGGGGATAATTCCGTGATTACACGGCAGGGGCATGGCTTCGCATGGAGGCCCTTCCAACTAGGGGTTAATCTATGGTTGATTACCTGATAACACGTTAGAAGCAGGGGCATGGCTTCGCATGGAGGCCCTTCCAACTAGGGGTTAATGACCTGACTTCTTAGAAGCAAGCCCTTCCAACTAGGGGTTAATTACCTGATTACACGTTAGAAGCAGGGGCATGGCTTCGCATGGAGGCCCTTCCAACTATGGTTAATTACCTGATAAGACGTTAGATGCAGGGGCATGGCTTCGCATGGTGGTTTTCCAAGTAGGGGTCAATTATCTGATAAGACGTTAGAAGCGGCATGGCTTCGCATGGAGGCCCTTCCAACTATTGGTTAATTACCTGAGTACACGTTAGAAGCAGGGGCATGGCTTCGCATGGAGGCCCTTCCAACTATGGTTAATAACCTGATAAAACGTTAGAAGCAGGGGCATGGCTTCGCATGGAGGCCCTTCCAACTATTGGTTAGTTACCTGATTACACGTTAGAAGCAGGGGCATGGCTTCGCATGGAGGCCCTTCCAACTATGGTTAACAACCTGATAAGACGATAGAAGCAGCATGGAGGCCCTTCCAACTAGGGGTTAATAACCTGATAAGACGATAGAAGCAGAGGCATGGCTTCGCATGGAGGCCCTTCCAACTAGGGGTTAATTACCTGATTAGAAGCAGGGGCATGTTCCAACTAGGGGTTTAATTACCTGACTACAATTGACTACACGATAGAAGCAGGGGCATGGCTTCGCATGGAGGGCCTTCCAACTGGGGCTTAATTACCTGACTACACGTTAGAAGCAGGGGCATGGCTTCGCATGGAGGTGCGTGGCTTCTCATGGCGGCCCTTCCGCGCCTGCGTGGCTTCTTTCGAGCCTTTGGTCTTCTTTCCCTTTGCTTCTTTCGCGGATTTCTCCTTCTCTTCCTGCCTGGGATGCAGGTTTCGCCGGTTTCTCCTTTCAGCCGTGGCGATCACCCCATGGATTTTTTTTTCCTTTTCGCATCCTTCCAATTTGCTTGAGCCCCTTGGAAAAAGCAAACATGTGTCCAGTAGGGATAAATTCCTTTTAACGCCAAACAGGGAAATCAAACATATCCTTAGGCAAATGCAAGTTTGCCTTCAAAACCCCGAAAGGGTACCCCTCAAGACAAACTGGCGCGCAGACCTCAGCCCCAACCTCCAGCCGCTTTGGCTGGACGCCCCGATCCCCTCGTCCAAGGCGAAAAGCCACGACACCATGGCAATTTGTGAGTGTGTCGCTTTTTGAGGGGTCCCTTTTTTCGTGGCCACGGAGAAAACCAAAAGAACATCAACAACTTTTCCTGGGGGGCCCCGTCGGGGCATCCGTCAGGCGGCTCTTTCTTCTTCTTGCGGAACTCGGCCAACTTTTGCCGGCGCTCCTCCAGAAACGCTCGTCAACCTGTTTAGCCAGCACCACCATCATTTTCCACCTTGAGACATCGGTTAATGTTTGTTGGTTGGATGTAAATCTGTTGTGGTCAGTGCGGAAAGATGTATGATACCTAAAGGTAGGCCCAGCCTAGGGTTCTTCAAGTTGATGTGCGTTCCGTTGGAAATCTTAGCATACTATAATCCCAATAAGCCCGATAGTAGAACCACCTTCAGTTTAGACCCAGAAGTAGCAGGCAATCCTTCTCAGGAACCATGACAAAACCTGATAACAAAACAAAACGGGGAAGCCACTTTTGGTCGATTGATCCGGTCGATTCGCTTTGGGAACAAGCATGGCCACGGCTCCTCATCCTTGCGTTGCCTCTCTTGAAAAGCAGCTCCTGTCAGTCACGGCGGTTTCGGTCTGAAGTCCCCAAAATCGGTCTGGAAGGGCGGAATCTAGTTCTTGGGGTTGTGTGGGGGGGGGGGGGGTATTTTCTCTTATTAAGTTACGTCATAGGGCTATGTGTCTAACTAATTCTTTCTGGGGTTCTGGGGTATTTTCATGCATTGACTTGCGTCATAGGGCTGTGTGTCTCACTATGTGGCGCTCATTCCGGCACCCAACTTTGATACTGGCCGAATCCGTAGCGCCCAAACTGCTGTCAACTGACTGACTTCAGGGGAAACTTGCTGGTTCTCAGCAGGAAATGAGGCATGACCACTGTAAACCATCTGCTATGGTTTCCTTTCAGGCAATCAGTAGATTCCCAACACCCTGGGCCATTCTGTACTGAGCACCTGCAAGCTTAGGCTTTACGCATGGAACCCCAAACCCAGAACTTCTGGAGGAATCTCCCTAAACGGGGGCCGACATGAGGTGTCCATTTCCAGCCAAACGTGTAAATCCACAAATGCTGGGTTTGACATGTGTTGCTATGTTAAGCCCTGCAGCTTTAACGGGGCTGGGCCCCCGTATTCATCTGCTTGCAGTCGTTTTTCGAACTCATGCCAAAGAACCAGTCGCGGGTCTTTGAGGACACCTCTCAGTCTTTCAGCCGCGACTGGCACACAATTCCTTCGTTGACGTTGGAAGGGGAGCAACAATTTGAAATTTAGCAGTTAAATGGGGATTTCTCACTAACCACAATAAGCAAAATGTAAAATGTTTCCCAACAACCATGATTCACTGAAATCATCCTCTTCTTTTTTGGGCTCGGACCGCTGAGTTTCCACTAGTGGCACTGCTCACGAACTGGTCAAATTTCTGGGCCCCAATTCCCGGCGTGGAGCTGGAAGCCATTGAGTCAGGCGGACGTTTGAAAAGAGAGTCTCCCACGGTAGGCACTTGAGTCTTGGTTGCAGTTGACGCCTCTGCAAAAAGTGTTTAACATGTTATGTGGGTTCACTGAAGTTGAAGACTAAAGATCCAACCCAATAGCAATCAAGCAGTGCCCAAGGAAGACCACAGGCTTCCACTTGCTCAAGCCCCCTGGAAAAAATAGCAGTGACATCGATTCCCGTAAAAACCAACCAGGGGAAATAAACAATATTCTTAAGCGAACGAAAGCAGGTCAGCTGAGAAGTGCTTCCCGAATCCGAATCCCAAATTTCTGGGCCCCCCGGCGGTTGGCTGCATCATCAAAGGGGTCGCCCAGCGCCAAGTTCTTCTCGTTGTACACCTGCCAAACCCCCCAAAAAAGAAACAGCCTCAGGGAGGGAAACATACTCAAAAGGAAACATACTCAAACATCAGACGCCTCACGCAAGCCCAGTTGGGAACTGGAAATGAAAGGCTTTATAACCTTTTGGGGCCCTAATGGGACAAGTGTTGGAAACTATAAGCTAAGATCAACTTGGTGAACAAAGTCAACATTCAGACCACGTTTCAGGCTCCATGTCTTTGTGAGGCATCGCGGTCAACCCCGCGGCCCTTTTCGCATGACCGATCTCGAGTTTGGCTCCTGCAAAAAGCAGCCAACGGGAAACCCTTTGGGTAGGATCCCACATTTGGCAGTTGCCCAAAGGACCCAGCAATCAAAGGCCATGACAATTTGGGCCCCCTCAAAATTGACCAAAAAGGGGCACTAAAAGGTGAAAAGGTCGGCCTGGTATGCAATCGGTCTGCCAGGAAAAGACTTAAGAAGGCGGATATCCGCACGTTGGGGCTGTTCCTTCATCTACCCGGGTTTTGATTCTGGCTCATTTGGTTCTGACTTTCTTTCTGGGCGGTACACTTTTCTAGGAGGTTTTACCTGGAAACCCCGTGGATGGACAAAAAAAATGCACCGAGCCTCTGGAATGACCCGATTTTGCCCGCAAGTGCCAACGATCGTATGGCTTCCCGTGGCTCCCAAGTGGTGCTAGTTGCTGGGGGGGCCCCCTGTTCCCAACACCCCATATGACCATAGGACCATTTTTGGCTCATTTGGCTCGGACTTTACTCTTTTCGAGGGGTCCCCTTTTCCCAACACAATACGCCCCAGCCGCACCTTCGCCAGGCGCCCGGTCGGATCGCAGAGCGGCTCTCGCATTCCTCGCTTTGGACAGATGTAAAGTCCAGGTAGCCCCAAAAAAGGTGGGTTGGATTGGTTTGGATTGGTTTGGATTTTTTGGATTTGGATTTGAAGCCCTGGCTTTTGTAGAGGTAGAAGGGGAAACTCCAAACTCCAAACCACCCCGGAGGACCTCCAAAACACCAATCCAAACCACCAATCAAAGGGAATCTGGCGGGCAGTTTGAGGGCGTGGCCTATAAGCAACCCACAACATAGCTTGGCCAAGTTGCCTCTGAGATCGCTCAGGATCTCCCCCGAGACAGTGGACGCCACCTTCCCGCAGCACGCGCTTCTGTGTTTTTTCAGCCTCCCTCTGGTGGTTTGGCGGTGTTCCGGAGGGGTCTCCCATTTACCCTCCACAACAGCCAGGGCTTCAAATTCCCACCAATCCAAAAAATAAATTGGGGGTTACCTGATTTTTTGTTTGGCGCACCAAGGCAACAAAAAACCGCGGCGCGGCTCGCTTGCTGACCGAGCCGAGCCCCGCCTTCTGGATCTTCAACCTGAGTTTCGCATGTTGCAACTGGCAAACAAACCGAGGCGTTGATAAGTCATTCACGTACTGTGGATGGACGCTGCTCGCACGCCGAATTTCCGAAAGGAAGCCGTGGTTGAAACCATAATGCTGGTTGGTATTCAATTTGGGGAATCGAATCATGCCAGGGTTTCCTCTTAGGTGGCGCAGGATTTCACCCATCCAGAGTTAGTAGGGACTTGCCGGTGCTCGGATTTCGGGTCATTCCAACTCATTCCCTGAGAGCTAGCGAGTTAACAATCCAACATACGGGGGTGTCTAAAAAGTGGGACCCGTTTTTTGGATATCAAAGGGAATCAAGGACACCCGCCACTTTTAGGAGCCACCAAAGAGCAGAGAATGCCCCAGTGCGTGTCCCAAGTTCTGATGGCGCTGTCCCCCCGTTGCCAAGCGGGGGGGGGGGGGGTGGTTTCCTTATCATTTCCCTTCCTGAGAAGTGGGGAAAGGGTCCCTTCAGCTTCGTACGGAGAGGAACAAGGAACCCCCCCACCCCCAATTTGCCGTGCTTTTCCATTAGAGGGGACTGCGCAAGAATTTGCTTGCAATCTTTGGTGCGTACATCCGGGTGTGAGTTTTCGGGCTTCAGCCCAGGAAGCGATCCGGGGATGGCCCAGAGGGGACTTCTGGGACCCCCCGCTGCTTCTCTGCACACTTCATCATCACGTCAAAGGTCTTGGTCGTGACTCCCAGGCCTGCGCTCGCTCGAGCGACTCGCGGGCGAATTGTTTGGGGGCCAAAAGGTCAGGTGCCAGGAGCTGCGAACGATTCGGCACAAAAAACCGAAATGCCAGCGAAACATGATGGGAGTCTGCTTGTAAGGGGAAACTGTTGCTCCTGCCTTTTGATACCCTCTTTCCTCTGCTTTACCTTAAAGCAAAGGCCCTTCAGAATACCAAGCAGTTCTCTAGACTTTGAGGGCGTACCTCTACGTATCTATGCGCAACCACAGGAACCATGATTGGAAGCCCATTCCTCCATGCCACCCAATGGAACAATCAATGAGTGTGTCTTTTTGGGAAGGGTACTCATTTATGGTTGGTCGGTTGGTCTGACAGGGAAAGCAAAGGGTCCCGTATTCTAAGACCCCCCCGCCAAATATCTGAGCTTTTTTGCACGGGCTTTTCCAGCATAGCGGCTGAGTCAGAAAGAGACTGCAAACCTGAGAGCTTGGCAACTCCCCAGAAATCCCGTGGCCGGAATCCATTTCGCACCGTTCGGAAACCCTGACATGATTGGATTCCCCTGTAAAAAAGGGGGCCAAACAGTGGTCTTAACCATGGTTTCTCAGGTGGCGCGAAGGGATTTCGCCCACAGTCTGCTGCAACTCTTTCAGACAGGATCTAAATGGGCTTTCCCTGCCCTTGGAGTTGGCCATACCCGAAGATGAAACCCCTAAAAAGAGGAAGGGAAGGCCGGCCTATGCTAAGAAAAATGGATCTCTGTGAGAAACCAAAACAGCTGGCCACTATGACTTGTCCTTTTGGCGTTCTTCTTCGGTATCACGAAAATTGGTAACTAAAATAACTAAAGCCAAATTCTCCACACCCATGGACCTTGGCTGGAGGAACACAGGGTAGGCCCGGATTCCCATCCCTTGGGCTACCCAGAGGCCCGTAGGCCCCTCAACCAACCCTAACCCCACCTTCCTGAACGAAAACCTGGAGGTCTCCTCCAACCTCATCCCCTTCCCCAATTCCGTTTATCTAGTCCCCAAATGGAAGAGCCGTCGAAAGTGACCCCCGGAAACTCCATTCCATTTCTGTGCCAAAGGCTCCTGGCCTCGGCTTCCAATGGAAGACCCGACCCCATTAGATGTTTGGGACCTCTCAAAACCGGGCGGTTCATCGAATTGGAGCCATTTCTCAGCTTCCCCCTAGTTGGTGGTTTGGATTGGTGGTGCGGTTCAGGGGTGGTTTTCCCATTTACCCTGTACAAGAACCAGGGGTTCAAATCCCGTGTTTCCACCAATCCAGACCACCAACTATCCTGAATTTCTGTAAGGACGACCTCTCTGGGATGAACCCCCCAACCCCACCTTCCTCCTCGAAAACCAGGTCTCTTACCCCCCAACCCCTTCCTTGAAAACCTGGAGGTCCCTTACGTCTCCGTCCCCTTCAGCTCATAGAAGCCGTCAGCCGTCGAAATGGCCTGTGTGCGCCAAGAAGAGGTCCGGGCCCCGATACGCATCACCGCCCCACAGGCCGCCGAGGTAGTCCACCGTACGTCTCCTGAGTCGCTGTCGCTGCAGTGAGCCACGGGGTCCGATGTATTTAGGGCCCTCAAACAGCCAGGTTTTGAGACCCCCCAAAATAATTCGCATGTCAGCTCCTCTCGGTTTGGATTGGTGGTTTGGAGGTGTTCCAGGCGGTTTACCATTCAGCCTCGACAAAAGCTAGGGCTTCAATCCAAATACGCCAATCCAAGCCACTAGCCATTCGTGTTTGAGCCTGGACCTTGCGGAAAAGCTCGACTTCTCCCCCTTGCGAACTTGAACCCATGCCCCATAGACTGGACATGACCGAACCAACTCAGCGGCTTTCCTTCGACTGCCCCGAAGGCCGCCCGGGCCAAAAACGATCAAATCAGATGCCGGGCCTCTAGAGCTTCACTCGTGCCATGAACGGCATGCAAAGGGACTTACATGCTGCAAAGAACTGCATGGACACCCCAACTGCAAAAGGACCTGGAATAGAAGGTTCGCCTTTTAGAACCTCGAAGCATCGGTCCAATCAGGGACACAAGCTCAAAAACGGTTGGCGGTCATACATGTACAGCGATAGTCGCAAGCATCCCAAGTCGCAAGAAAGGCCTGCAAAACCGCAAGACCTGGAATTAAAGGGCTTGCGAAACTTGCAAGCAATGAGGACTCTTGACTTGCAACCAAATCAGGGAAACCAAAAGGTGGACAAGGTCGTCTTTGGGCAAATGAGATTGTGTCCACGAAGGCGGCATGGGCTGCCATAAGAGCTGAATCATGAGACCTTTGGCCTGACCAATTTATTTTGCAGATGACTTGGGTCGCCACTCCGGGAAACAAGCAGCCAACCAACCGTAACCAACCAGCCCAAAAGGCAAGCAAATTGGCAAGCAAACAACCAACCAAACAGATCAGCAATACACAAACAAACCAACAAAACAAAGCAACACAAACAAGCAAGCAAGCAAGCAAGCAAGCAAGCAAGCAAGCCAAGCAAGCAAGCAAGCAAGCAAGCAAGCAAGCAAGCAAGCAAGCAAGCAAGCAAGCAAGCAAGCAAGCAAGCAAGCAAGCAAGCAAGCAAGCAAGAAGCAAGCAAGCAACCAAGCCAGCAAACAAGCAAAACAACAGCAAGCAACCAAAAAGGAACAAACAAGCAAACAAGCAACCAAACCAACCCAACAACAATCAAGCAAACCAATACACAAACAAGCAAGCAAGCAAGCAAGCAAGCAAGCAAGCAAGCAAGCAAGCAAGCAAGCAAGCAGGCAGGCAAGCAAGCAAAGCAAGCAAAGCAAGCAAGGCAAGGCAAGGCAAGGCAAGGCAAGGCAAGGCAAGGCAAGGCAAGGCAAGGCAAGGCAAGGCAAGGCAAGCAAAGCAAAGAAGCAAGCAAGCAAGCAAGCAAGCAAACAAGCAAGCAAGCAAGCAAGCAAGCAAGCAAGCAAGCAAGCACGCAAGCAATCAAAACAACACCCAAGCAAGCAAGCCAGCCAGCCAGCCAGGCAGCCAGGCAGCGAGCAAGCAAGCAATCAAGCACACAAGCAAGGAAGCAAGCAAGCAAGCAAACAAACAGACAAGCAATCAAACCAACACACAAGCAAAGCAAGTAAGCAAGCAAACAAACAAACAAAGAAGCAAGCAAGCAATCAAACCAACACACAAGCAAACGAGCGAACGAACGAACCCCCTGCGCACTTGCTGCCGGGCTGCTTCAAATTCTCGAGGTTTCGATTTTCAAAGAACTTCTTCGTGTCTTTGTCCTACGCCACGGCAAGCAGTCGCGTAAGGACGGTCACTGGGTTGAAGGACTCAAGGCTTTGTTTGCGCATGCCGGATTCAGATTTGAATCGCCTCAAGGGCGTCTCCGCAGACCAAGTACTGGAATGGACAGCTTCACTTGGCAGTTGGATTCTGTGATACCTGGGTCTTCCGTGGGCACTTTTTTCTGGATTTTCCCGTTTCGAGCAAAAATAACGCTCATTTCATCCAAAAACGCTCAATTCGAAATAAACCGCTCAATTGGAAAATGGTTCTGGTGCGTGTCCGCACATTTCCGCTCATTTCCCGCCGATTTCCGCTCATTTCCCGCCGATTTCCGCTCATTTTCTGGGACACAACTTGCAAATCAAGATTTCCGCTCATTTTTAGTTTTTCCGCTCAAAATCTGAAACGAGCAAAAAAAATGCCCAGAGCCCCAAAAAGTGACCAAATGGAAGACCCAGGTATTTCATTGTCCCATTCATCCCAACTCTGGCGCGGATTGCGTCCATCGGAGCATGGGCACCTGACTGCCTCCGAAAGTTGGAACTTGTGCGATCCATTTGGACCAATACTGACTTCTTGAGCGGATTGGCCCGAAAAACATCCAGGAACTTTTTAACTTTACCACCAAAATGGCCCCAAGAAGTGAAAAGTCCAAAACGGAACGGGACTGAGAATACGGCAGCTTTAGGGCGATGGCTTGAACTTGGCATCGAACGATTGGAGCCCCGAAGCCCGGAACTAGGTAAGTCCAAGAAAGTTTTGGGGTTGACCCTTTGGTGGTTTGACCCCTTGGTGAATTGACCCGTTGGTGGGTTTGGCTGATATCGATTTGGATGTGAACCCCTGGCTCTTGTAAGAGGGCAAATGGGAAACCACCCCGAACATCTCGAAACCACCACTCCAGCTGATCTAAGTCTAAGTTTAAGGGCCTCGCCTGGCTTGTTTCGAGCTACGACTCTAGGGACCCTTAAGACCCTTAAGAGAAGTGGGATCTATTGCCTAGGAGGCTTCTGGGCAAGGAGGGTGCCCTTCACATGCAACCACTTCAGGGGAAACGAAAATGTCCCTCCCCCCCCCAAAAAAAAAAAAAACGTCCCCTCCCCCCCCAACAAAAAAACAAATCAACCAACACGGACTCAACAGGCATCTTTCTTCGGGACCCCCGAGAAGTTCCGTAACCATTTTATGGGGCTCAGTTTAAACACTGCCCAAAGGGGGCGGTGTCTGAATCAAGGGAAACGGAAGGAGCACCTCAGCCAGCCGAAAGCTACTAATGTTCGGGAACGAGACGCCGCAGAAAATCACCCTTCCACGATACCAAAGTGGTGGCTTCCCCTAACTACTCGATCACTTCAAAAGAGCTTGCTTGGTATCACAGAAGCATATGTGGCTGCAGCACCCGCAAGTGTAACTTTCGCTGGCTAAAACTCACAGCCAACAGAATCCGACCCAACCCCTTTTTTTGGAGGGCTCCCCATCTCTCGTGTCTTTTCAAAGGGCTCTTTGCGCTTTGGCAACTTGCCCAACCACCCGCTGCTTATCCCTGAAATCCCCCGCCAAATCCGCGCAAATCCGCCCGGATCCGAGCTCGAACCGCCCCCGCTGCGTGGCGTTGCAGCAACCACCCTTTCTTTTTCCCCTGGGGTCCCTCCCCGTGAAATGCCCGGGATTCTTTTCCGAAACTCCGAAAAAGCCGAAAAATCCGCCCCCGCTCCGTGGCCATGAGGTCGTAGAAGCCATTGACAAAGGTCTCCAAGGCCGGCAGCCCGCCCAGCCTGGAGTAGACGCTCTCAGGTCCACCTGGCCAAGGGATACTTTTGCCAGGGGCCGTGTTTTTTTCCCGACAGTTGGGATGCTGTGTTTTTTTCAAAAAAATGAAAGGTGTTTGTTTTAGTTGATGAAAGTGGTCTTGCAGTTGATTCAAAAAAATGAAAGGTGGACAGCCCTCAGTGAATCTTGAGGCCAGGTGCTTTGGGGGTGCCTCACGTTTTTGGGGACCTGCATTTGAGTGTTGGATTCGACTCTGGTGCTTTGATTTGGGAAGCTTTCAGAACAGAACGCCTTCAAACCGACTGGACGCTCCTGAAGTCACTGGCCTGGTTTCTCTAACAATTGGGGTGATAAAACCAGTGCGCTTCCCTCCCCCCAAAAAATTAACCTACGGAATGACGCCGAATCTGACTGTGTTTCCCACCCAGGGACGAATGAGTCCAACCCTTCAACCGCGCCTTTGGTGGAAATCACATGGTGCCCTACATTCACCGGCATGGCGCAGCGCGGGAGCGGTGCATCCGCAACCCCGCTTGAGCCAGCCCCTGAAACGTTCAAGGCGAGCCCTGATGGGATAAAGGCGAGGGTAAAGCGGTGATTGGGCTCAACTGGAGCCTAAATCGGGGTGATCTGGGAAAACCCACAATCATCCATGTCCTGTTGGCCTGTCTTGGAAGAATCAACCGCACAAATAACTGAGCGTATCAACATAAATCGCAGCCACATGAGTCACAATCAAAACCCGGTACTAAAATGGTCGACCCAGAACCATGTAAAGAAAGAAGAAGGCGACCGCAGCTATTTATGGTTGCGATTGTCCCTTACTAAACCTTCATCTACCCAGGTTTTGATTGTGGCTCACATGACTCCAAAGTATCCACTGGCACGGCCGCGGCTGGCGGTGCAGGTGTTGGTTTTCTCTGCGGGCTGGCTTCTGGCCTGCGTCTTCGCGCTGAAAACTTCGGAAACCTAAAGGGAGGCGCGTCTCTTCGACCGCTGCCATCCGCTGCCCGTTGGCTTTTTGCTGGACCCGCGAACTGAACGATAAACGCGTTTGTGCGCGGTGGGAAATGGGATGTCAAATCAAACAACCAAGCTTGAGGGTTACACAAAGACACCATCTTCCAGAACAACCATAGGCCGGGCTTTTGCCCCCTCCCCCCCAAAAAAAAAAACAACAACAGTTTTTTTGACACCAGAGTGACCATGCTCAAGGGATCCCTTTGTTTCATCTTGCTTGCGGGGGCTACACGACTTCCTTCGGCCCTTCGGCTTGCCGACACGGCGTTGCTCCGGTGGCACCCCGGCGGAAGCGAGGGACCGATGCGGAGTTCTCGGACTACCGGACTGCCAGGGCCAGGGGCAGCAGGGCAGCGAACCTGACGTTTTCGGAGGCTCTCGTCCATCGGATAGGCGCATCGGAAAAAGACAAACTTTATATTGCCAATAGTGATAGATCTCCTTTCAAACCAACAGAAGGGGAGAATACATATTCTTCAGAAACTGGAAGGTCTGAAAGGATTTCCTTGAAAACCAAGAGGGAGAGACACCAAATAATCTTCAGCAACAAAAGCTCTGAGTGGCTCGGGCCACCGAGCTCAAGGTTGAGACGTCAAACTTCTTCCCAGGTGGCTGGAAGCCCTGGGTTTCGCCGCACCTCCAGTGGATCTTTACCGTAACCAAGGGAACCACACTTTAAACACCAAAGGAACATGGCGAAGGGGTACCTACTCCTTTTCGTGCCCTCGAAATCAGGCGATGTTCTGCAAAGTGAGCCAAACTAAGAGGCTCACAGCCGCAGTCGACGAGGAACTGCTACGTGCTGAATTTGGAAACACTCAAATCTCAGAGATACCGTGGGATGGTTGCGAAATCCGTCTCGCACCACTTGGAAACCATGGTTGAAACCATTGTTGGCTGGCATTTGCAGGGGAATCATCATTGCAGGGTTTATAAGGTGGTGCAGGATTTCGTCCATCCACAGTATGCATTTAACCGAACCCGGCAGCATGACGCTATGATGTTTTCGCCGGGAGCGAAAAAAACCATTAGCATCAACTCCGACTCCGGACCAAGCTGCCCAGATTTGGATTTGGCCACATGGAAAGTGGCACAACGTGTGTGTGTGTGATCTGGGTACCCACCACCCCTGGAGGTCAAAGCCAAGCCGGGGTTCTACTTAGATCCGGGCCTTGCCTTACCCCGTTTTCCATAGGACACGAACCGTTCAGTCCCCGGATTGCCGATTCCCACAGGCGACCCATTTCCAGTCCCCGCGGATGGACAAAATCCAGCAGTTGCTAGGTGACCTATTCCATGATTGAAATCGGGGAACCATCCATCCCAACTGGTGCGAGCGGATGGATTTCGTCCATCCACATCCCTTGAGAAGCCCCACAGGACCCCAGCAACCGAGGCCCCCGAACCTCCAGCCGATGCTGCTGGCCCCGCCACAGTCCACGTCGCAGCCGGAGAGGCTCGACTTCGCTGTGTTGCAGGCGCTTGTCCTCAGAGACGACACCAGAAACCTCTGATTCTGATCCAAATTGATACAGGGATCCTTACATTATACACCTGAACATTGCCTGGTAAATGGTGGTGTCCCTTTATTTTGGTGGAAAAAACATGTTTCAAATGGGCAAAATGTATCTTTTAAGGAGCCCTGTGATACTGGCCCCAGCATTTCACCACTAAAGACACCCCCTAGAAGTGGTAGCTTGAAGGGGATCCATCCCAGTTTCTGACTTTGATAGTCCTAAGAAACTGTCAAAACAATGGCCCCAGCGCCAGTCATACCCTCTTCCTTGATGTAGGCGCTTACAGCAGTATTCCTCTTAGGAACCTCTTTTGCTTTTTTCGGTGAGCAAGCGTTCAATTGTTGAGCGGCATCTCTTTGCTACTTGGGTGTGTCCTGTTTTGGGGACCCTCCACTTCTCAAGGGTGTGGCGACGCTCTCAATTTAACGTTCTCCTTCAGGAAAGCGTACTCACTTGCCCAAAGGACCTGCAAATAACAGGTTAACCTTTTGGGACTAGGCCAAAAAGGGAAAACCAAAAGGTCAAAAGGTCGATTCGCTTTGAACAACTGAGCGTAGAGTCTCAGACTCTAATTGCTAGATGCCACCCTCCTGCGAAGAGTGCAGGTGCTTTCGAGCTCAGGACGAGAGAGCGAGTAAATGATCACGAGGCAATGTGGTTTACGAGCAACCCACAACCCCATGCCAACTTTTTAGGGCTCTTGACAGCGGGAGGGGGGCATTTTTCTACTCTTTTTATCTCCTCCCTTTCAAGCCCCCGTTTCTTAATTTGACCCCCTGAACCGTGTGCAAATCTGGTTCATTTTCACTCCTGGGGTCCATGTGCCTAAAGTCGTGGGTCAACATCCCATGCCTGGGCTGTCCCCAGGTCCCCGACTAAAAGTTTAACTTTCAGTGGGATAAATGGAAACCCAACACTAAACCAACTGAAAAGCCAAAAAAGACAGGGGATGGCTGGTTGTCTGTTTTTCGACCCCCCCATCCTTTCTTTCAAACCACCCCTTATGTTGACCACAAATTTGGCCCATTTTCACTAGGGCCCATGAGCTCACTTCCTGGACTGGCCAAACAAAGTCTAAACTTCTCATTTACCACCAGAATCGTCCAAACACAAAAAGTTCAAAGCCCCTGAGCTAAGCTAAAGTCATGGGTCAGCATCCCAAACGTGGACTCAGCCGGCGCCTTCTTCTTGCCCGCCGGGCGGCTGCGCGGTGAGACAGGCGGCGGTCACAGCAACCTCGTCGCAGTTGTCGCCTCAAGCGGCAGGATTTCAGCGTTGCGTGTGTAATATGTAAATATAAATATGTGTATATACTCTAGGCTTCCAAAGGCCATTAAAAGAATGGTCGAGGTCGCTAGACTGTTTTTGCCGAAAGACCGTTTTTTGCGCCTGGCCCTGAATATCCAAGAAATCATGGTGTTTGTTGCCCAAGAATTGCTTAGGCTCAGGTCACTGACAGTCACGCCGCCCTCATCCTCCCAGCTGCAAATGACTGCGCCCAAGCCACTCATTCCCCAGCTTTTGTATGCTCACATCACTTTTCAAAATCGCCAGGTGTCCCGCCTACCGTATATGCGCGCATGTTGGTACTGAAGTCCGGCTTTTTTCAAAAATGCTGCAAACTTAGTGGCTTCGGGGCATCGCTGCCGATCAGGCATGCGTTGTGGGCTCCTGGGAGTATGCTTGTCCACGCTTTTAAATGTACTTTCCACGCTAAAAAACGTACTTTCCACGGTTTGTCCATGGTTTGTCCACGCCTCATTTTCTTTCGAAATCGATTAAACAATCAACAAACGACACGCGATAAGACTCTGTGGAGCTGTGGACAAGAAGCGCAAAAGCACGCACGGGCATGTGAGTGACAAGCCAAATTGACACAGCATGGTGACGGCGTGTGATTGCAACGGGATGCAGCGACTTTAAAGCATACTTAGCTTATTTCACAAAAGGCAGCAATCAAGTTCTTCAACCTCTCAGTATCAGAAGCGCGCGGGGATGTCAGGAGCCAGCCGTCTCAAGTTGGCCAAGTTTGTCTAGACCTACTTTTAATGGTCGAGGGACATTACTTTTATAGCCTTTCGTTTTTTTTAAATGGTCGAGGCTATTTAAAGAATAGTCGAGGAAGCATAGGGTGTATATATATATATATGCACATATTATGATATATTTACATATATACATAATCTTTTTATGTATGTGTATAATAATGTGTGTGTATACATATCACACACACATATGTATATACATATATATATATATACACGCCCACATCAGGCGGTACAACGCTAAAACAACAAACCAAGTAGATTTTGGTCGGATGAGTTTTGCTTTGGCGGGGGCTTATACCATACATACATTCATCATATACGTGTATACATACATACATGTACATATCTTCGGTGGATGCCTTGCAGATTGCAAGTAAGGGAACAAAACCACCTCCCAATTTACCGCAATTTACCATGGTTGAGTATGGTTGGGACTTCCACTATGACATGTCGCAATCCGACAAATAGCGAGAGCCTTGATTGCCTTGGTTGTTCCGAAAGGAATGCGAAAGCTGATTGGTATGTTTTGGGAAAGGTTGGCTCCCCTTTTTGACAGCCAATGGGATTCGGGGAGGCCGCTGTATTTCGATTGATGCAACAACTTTGGATTCTGAAATGCCGCAAGTGGTCCAGCCACTTAGGTTTCAGCCATATCATCCTCAGTTGCCCTTCCATCTTCAAACAAACTATGTCCAGCAGCGATAGGTTCCTTTCAAAAGCAACAGGGGCAAGTAACAAACTTTTGACCAGCACGCCCCAACCACTGCTTTTGGAAAATTACTTGGGAGGCTGGACACGCGAAAAAGCAATGGTTGGGGGGAACTGGAAGCAAATGGAATCCGCTTCTTCCCTGCGGCCGAAGGAGCAAGACTTTCGCTCGGAACTCCGCGCAGGGTTGGTGCAGTACATGTGGCATTTCCAGTCCTTGTGAGCCGGGGAGGAGGGGGGGCATGCGTCTTTGGACACGCGAAAGAGCATGGCCAAGTCAAGTGCTCAAAACAATGCGGGCAAGCTGAAGAGGTTAAATTGAAGTGGCCGAGTCGAACTGGTCAAATCACAACGGTAAAAATGGGAGTGGTCCGTTCAACGGAAGTTATGTACTTCAAAAAATGTCGATTTTGACTCGTGCATTCAAAGCGGCCAAAGAGAAGTGAGCACACGATGGGTGCGGTTTTGGTTGTGGGTACCATTTTGGGGTGGTTACTTAAGGGCAACACCCGCCCATGTCGGGGTCCCCCGGAAAACACATACCCAAAGAAAACTTTGAAAAATCCCAACGGCCATGCCCCATTCAAGCGAGATGGGACATCAGAGCGAAGGAACCTTCGGATCCATTCAAACTGGATGATTTGGGTGCCGCAAATTCTTTCAAGTTCCGGCATAAGATTCACACTACTTACTACTTGCATTATGATTCATATTGCCTTTTCGGCACCCATTTGTTGGTATAATTTGTGTTCAGTCATTGTGATGTTTGTTTGTGCATTTTGTTTTTCTCTCCGTGGCGTGGATCACATGCATAAGTATTTGGGCTTTGGGGAATTGCGGCCATACTGCGCACATCCAATAATGAACAGTTTACTCAATGTGCAGTTTGCAGGTATGTCTTGGAATGCCACGCCCCTTGGCATATGCGGACGGGAGGGTTGAAGCCATTTGAGGCCTTGACGCATTCGAAGGGTGATGTTTCCACCTTTTGAGGTGGAAAGGCGAGAACCCGAACTTCTTTTTGCCCCCCTAAAAGAGACCGGCATTGACCCCTAGCAAGAAGGTGTGGTCAGTCAAACAAGTTGCTATAAACCAAACAGCCTCCAAAGAGCCACCCTCTTGTTGCGCCCTAACATGAATCCCTTTCCATCTCTGAATCACTCATTCCACAACTCTCCAGTCAGTGTCATTAATTAATTGTTTTATTGTTTCATTCGCATGGGAAAAAAAGAAGCAAAAACGACTCCAGGAAGTGGCCCATCCTTCACCCCCTTTTGCGCCTTTTGTGCAAACGACTCCCGGAAGTCAACGCAAAACCCGGAAGCGCCGGGGCGCATCACAGGACCATCCCGTATGATCCCACGTGCCAGGATCTGGACACCTGGCCGCCTGCGATGATTTCGAGCTCACGCAGCACGAGCAGGACATCCTCAAATCCACCCAGTAGCACGCCCGGGGAAAAAAACGGGTGGATCTTCTTCATTGGGTCAATTGGATCTGTCCGAAAAACGAAGGTGGACTTTTGGTTTATCGCCGAGCTTACCCACAGCGAATCACAGCGAACTTCGGCGTATAGGGATGCCTAATGTAACAGGGGATCTGTCCATCTGTGTCTCGGTCTAGCTATAAGGTTGCAATCTGTACGGAGACGAGAGGTGATCAAAAGTCCAAATGGGATCTATCAAAATAGCCCCCCTCAAGAAAGAAGAAGCCGTTTTCGTGTTCGCTCACGCCCCAAAAAGGGGTTTGAGCCCCGGAAAAAAAAAGAAGAAAAAAAGAGAAAAAACAAACCATTTGTCTGAAACACCCACGTTTACGTAGTCCTTCTTGAAGGTCCCCCTAGTCCACGGCGTGTTGACTAGACAGAAAACAACTTGATACCAGCGCCCGGCTTGCGGGAAGCCAGCTGCCCCACTGGTCAAACCAACAGCGACCAAAAAAAAAACCGACTTGGGTGTGTGATTTTCTGCATCTAGTTGAACATCTTTAAGATCGTTAATTACAAGTTTAAGTGCTGAATTCACACATTTAAACTCTTTTTGTCAATATTTCAGAGCATTCATAGCCTGGATTGGTTGCACGTGGACCTTGCCACGGCTTATGCTGTGGAATCGCGTGCCCGATTTCAGACCTCTGGCCAAAGAATCCTCCAAAAGTGAGAAGAAAAGTATTCAAGCCAGCCCAAGTCTTTTGTTCCGCCAAACACGAGTCTGAGAAGCCCCTGCTTAGCGACCCCAACTCCCAACTGGCCAGCCCAAAAAGGGCTACTCAACGGTCCTAAAGGTTCGTATTGAAGGTTGAAAGGCGTCAGCCCCCAGTCCAGATGTCTCCCGAACACTTGTGAATGGAAACCTTGGGGCCTGAAGATCGCGAAAATCAACGCTGGCGCTTGCCTTGTTCTGGTCGAAGAAGAAGCTTTCCTCAGCGCGCAAAAGGAAAGCACGCAGAAATGCTGCAGAGTTCACCCGAAAAGCTCTGGCCTTCTGGCTTCCGAAAACAAGGCCAACCAAATGCTCCGATTTGCAAGTAGTCTTCCCATGCCGGGCATCTGTGCAAGCATTGACACGGGTGAGCAGGTTAATAGGTGCAAGCCCTCACCCTTGGGCCCCCCCCCCCCGCCCTTCGCCCCCTTGGAGCTCCAATGCTGTTGCCAGGCTTCTCCGGGCGACTCGCACTGCGCAATGCCCTGTGACTCGCTGCTGCTGCAGCCAGCGTAGGTCTCGGAAGGCTCGAAGAATTTTGGGGTGTTCAAGCCGCTGAGCAACCTACTTTGGGTATGAGGGGCTGGCCCCAGTTGGCTCTGCAGCCAGGTTTGCAACCTACTAGAATTTTAGAACATCCAAGTTTGGGGCGCCCGAACCACACCGTGGAAGATTGAGATGCACCAAAACCGGAGGTGTGCTTACCTAAGCCCAAAGGACCCGAAAACCAAAGGCGAACCTCCTCAGTTGCCCACAAAGGGACCCAGAAATCCAAGCTTTGGGGCCACTAAGAATGGCTGGAATTCGGACCCCAGCTATTTTTTCCCCAGCCTTTTTTTCCGCCTAGTGAGCGGAAAACCAAGGAGGCCCCAATAAAGCAACGACTCAAAAAGGGAAGAAACAGCCCAAGAGGTTTTCAGCTCCTCGGTTGCCCCGGATGGGACCCAGAAATTTTCAGGTGATCACACCCTTCGGGGCCGCCAAAACCGGAAAACACCCAAAGGCTGCGATCGATCCGCCTGGGCCAGCGCCAGGGAAGGCAACAGCGTGAGCCGCAACCTGAGCGAATCGCCTTTTTTTTGTCGCTCGCACTTGGAAGGAGGGAAGCGGAGAAGCTGAAAAAGGGGCGGGTCTGTTGTTTTGAGGCTACCCCCTTTTGGTTGGCTTTAATGGGAGGCCAAAAGGAAAACCACCGTTTTGGGGGAGGGTCCAACCGAAGAAAGACACACCCCATTTTATGGATTGAAGGTCGCTTTCGAAGATGTAAAGCCTTGTTCAAGTTTGAACTGACGAATCCAGCAAAAGTCCTGAATCGAACGATCCCAGCCTTGCTTAGCAAATGACGAGTCTTCTAAAGTTCCTTTGCGTCAAGGATGTGTTCGCCTGGCTGCGGAGGGGGCACCTCATTTAGACGAGTACCGAAGCGGCCCACGATACGCCCTGGACCACAAACGCAGCATGGAGCTTGGGATCGCAGCTGCAGAATATGCTCTGCCCAGATCCTCTTCTCTCTACTTGGTGGTTTGGATTCGTGGTTAAGAAGGGGTTTCCCAGCAAACCTGGACAAAAGCCAGGGGATGCGAATCGGATTGCTCTTCGCGGGTACATCCTTCACACAAATATCAGTGCGCTTGTCCTGGGCAAACTACTGCAATTCCCAAGCCGGACATATTGGAAATCTCAGTGCAGGACCTTCATCGTGTGTGAGCTCGTTTTAACCCCAACATGAGCTCGCTATATCCAGGTATTATACAATGATTTTAAGGCCTGATATGAGCTCGTACGCTGCCCAGAAACGGATCTCCATCGCTTCTCGTTTTAAAAAGGCGGACTTCTGCAGCTGTGGCGCCTTGGCAGCATCTTGCCTTTCCGATCGCTCGGGCAAGATCAAACAGCTTTCGGCACCTTGAGCCAAACGGCCTCAGTCGAGGCTCCATTCAATATGGGCGTGTCTTTTCTTGAAAGAAAGCCAAAAGCAAATCACACCCTTTTTTGTTTGGGTCCAAATCCTAAAGGCAGACACAGATATCTCGGGCTATCTTGGGCAGGTGGCAAGTCCTCGAAACCCTCGAAGGGTTTGGCCAATGAAGTCTCTTGGTTCCCCAGTCTGATCCCAGGAATAAAAGGTGTGATCACTGTTCATCCATTTGCTTAAGCCTCCCGGAAAAAAAAAAAAAAAACAAAAAAAAAAAACTAAAAGCATGTCCAGTAGCGAAATCGTTCCCCAAAGGGGAAACCAAAAGGTCAGCTTTGGTTGTAAGTGTGTGCAGGAACTCCGACATTCCCATAGCTGTTGCCAAAAGTGGCCAGTTGGCCAATTAATCCAACCCCTCCCGGAGGTCACTTGCTACCACGCACTTCGGCCCTCCTCTCTGCTCTCTCCCGCCCCCTCCCGCTTTGAAGAGTGCAATCTCTCGACCGCATGTTTCCCGCAGCGTCGTCTCGGCGAGACAGCACGCCGTTTGTCACAGCGAAAGCATGCATACCTCAAAGTCAACTCGAACAAAGCTCTTCGAGCACAGCCCTGCTCTGTAGCAGGGAAATAATTACAGCCCCCAGCCAAGGGAGCGATCCTGAAACTCCCGCCTAAACATTCGCACCGAATTCCGGTGGCAAAAGGCCACGGGTCAACCAGTGCTTCCAATGGCCACAGTAACCTTGGTTCCGTACCTCTAGGTTTTACCATGGATGGCTCCCCTCATGGTGAGCCACTACTACTCGATACCTGTTTTTTTGTTTCTCTTGTCTACATTTGTGTCATCTTGCAGCTCCCCTCCCCCCCAATAAAAAACAAACACAGGTTTCCCTTCTGGCTTTCCGTCAAAACCTCAAAAACAAAGTACTTAACACTCCAAAAGAAAGACAAGAACTAAAACAAGACACCCACCTCCGATGGCCTTCACTTTGCGGCGTTACGTTAGATCCTTGGCTTCACTGGAGGCACCGGCTGCTAAAGGGGTCACCAAATTCCCAGCGAATTCTAGGCCACCACCTGCGCCATCGGCGGCCTCCTGTACCTGACAGGGCGTCCGGGGAAACCGCAAGTAGCCACTTTTTTTCCAGCCACATTTCTTTACCCACTAGTAGCCCATAGTTTGGCAAAAGTGGAAAAAAGAGACAACAATTTGGCAAGGGACCAACAATTTACCAAAAACAGAGATAACAATCTACCAAAGGGAAATTAGCTTACCAAAAGTAGCAGGCGAAAGTTTTTTGCCCCAAGGGGTTCAAGGGAGTAAATGCAAAAACAAAAACGTCACCCCTAGGAGCCCCAAGGGAGTAAATACAAGGAAAAGAAAGTGTCCCCCCTTTTTCCCCAGCTGAAAGCTACAGGGTCTCAAATAGGCTCTGGGGTGGCTTGGAGAAGCTTTCAGGGAGGGCTCCGGAAATCCTAAAGTGGCATGGTGATTCTGAGGTGATGAAGTGATCTTCCAAAGAAAATTCTAGAGTTCAGCCAAAGTGTAAAGTCCGCACAGTGTCCTCTGTTTGTCCCTACATGCATAAGGCACTGAACCTTTGGCTCCAATGATGCCAATATTCAGATTCTTCACATTCATTGCCGAGAAATTCCACCACATAAGAGATACTGGAGTCACAGAGAAGGTATATGACATGGGGTCTTAAAATATGAGAGCCCCAATTTGGCTTCCCTTCGGTTTGCCATCAAAAGAAACACCCCCCAAAAATAGGGTTCACTAAATTTTGTGGTTTCCTTTTAGTTTCCCTTTAAGCCAACCCCAACTAGGTCCTCCAGTAGAGAGCTTAGAATAAGGGTACCAACTTTTATCTGTAGCCTATTGTTGTAGGGGAAGCCTCCCAACCAAAAAAGGAACGGTGGGAAAGGGCACTGGGGGACCTAGCCGGCAAGCCCAAGGCATCCGAGGCTGCGGCCGGGCGCTGTGCATGGCCACCGGCGAAGGCGCTGGCGCCTGAAGCCATATGAAGGCGGGCGGAAACTTTCGTTGGCGTTTCTTGGCATCTTGCCACGGTTTGGACCCAGAAATCACTGGCTGTGGCGGTCAAATGGGGCACCCAGAAAGCAAAGCTGATCACCTGTTGGGCCATGACGAAAAATGGGAAGCCAAACAAGGGGGAAAAATGGGAACCCAAGAAAGGGAAAATACTTGGCCTTTTGGGGCAACCATGAAATATGGGAAGCCAAACAAGGGAAACCAAAAGGACAGATCCGGGCGAGTCGCACTGTTTGCAAGTGAGGGGTAAGGGGGCCATGAGGAAAAATGGGAACCCAAGAAAGGGAAAATACTTAGCCTTTTGAGGCAACCATGAAAAATGGGAAGCCGGAAAGGGGAAACCAAAAGGTCAGATCCTGGCGAGTTGCATTGGACAAGTGCCTTGCAACACCCAGGCCCTTCCGAAATGGCCGCAGCCGACCGGGGCAAACTCCACTTCCAAGGATTAAGTGGATTGCGACCCGGGTTAGAACCATCAACTTGGCCGAATACTTCAGGGTGCCCGAAAGTGTTTGCCCATAGATCCCACAGAACGACATCTGCCACTCTGCCGCATGTGGAGGTCAGAGTGTCTCAACATCCTTCTCGAACCCAAACAGAGTTCCCCTTGGCCGGCGGCGCCTTTTCAACCTCAGCTTTTGGCGCCCAAGCAAAGAAGGAGGGCCGTCCTGGTCCCTGTTTAGTGGACGAACCTGTGGCTGTTTTTTTTTGGCCCTTTGTGGTCCAACCAAAAACGGGTCACATTGATTTTCTCTACGCTACACTTTGCAAGCAAGGAAGCAGGTGGATTTTCTGCATTTTGCAAGTAAGGGAGCAATTATGTGGTTGGCTGGCATGCAGTATGTTCTTACTTCCTGAGTGGATTGGCCAGCAAAAGTCTGAACTTTTATATCTGTGTATTTACCACTAACATGATCTTCCCAAAAAGTGACTCAAGTCCAATAACTAACTTTTATATCTGTGTATTTACCACTAAAATGATCCTCCCAAAAAGTGACTCAAGTCCAAGAACTAACTAACTTGTATATATCTGTGTATTTACCACTAAAATGAGCTTCCCAAAAAGTGAGTCAAGGAACTCGGGGCCGGGGAGAAAGATTTAGGGCATCCACCATCCGCTGCACATTCGCTCCCAAGGCGAGGCGCGGCTGGCTGCCAGCTCTGACTGCGCCGGCTGTCCACCACCGGCCGGAGCCTCACGTCTCATCGTGCCGGTGTCCAAGAAACTCGTTGTCCAACAACGACTCGTTGTCCACTAGAAGTGGTACCATTGTCTATTTTCTATTATGCACCCACTGGGTATTATCCCCATGTAGGCACATTTCCGGATAAAACCGTGTTCTTCTGAACCATTCTGGGTCATTTCCCAAGGGTGTAATCCCAGGGTGTAATACAAAAACCCTCAGACATTGGTTTTGACCCACAACTAAGACCCGGAAAGAATCTCCTTGCCAAAGTGGCCAGGATCGCTCGTTCTACAGTTCGATCACATAACATCGACTCAACATCTAACATGTGCCCACAATTCCAATGTCTCTAGGGGTAACTTCCATTTGCATTCTTTCCAGGGATCCGGATCTTTCAAGAAAACCAACAAAAACCCTGGGGAAATGGCGATCGGTTTTTGAAAAGAACGATGGCTGAAAAGAAGGGGGAATCACCCCCTAGATTTGTGCGGATTTGTGTGGTTTTTTGGTTTGTTGTCCTTCCTTCTCGTGTTTTTTTTGTTTTTGTTTTTTTTTTTTTTTTTTTACGGGGGCGGGAGGGGAGGGTTGGGCGGGGGGAGTTGTGGTGGACGCTTAAGCTCTATGTTGATTCTATGTTTGCAACCTCCTTCGTTTCAAGGTCCTTGCTTCTCAGGGTCTGCAAGTCTCCGGGAGTCCGGTTTCAATGCAGCCGAAAAGTGACGGCGGATGCCCGAAATTGCAAGCAACACCACCACACTCGACCACAAAACCATGGTAAATGCCGGCAATTCGTGGGAGGGGGGGGTCCTCGTTCCCTTGCATTTGTTGGATCGTCTGAAGCTGCTTTTACAGGCACATTGGTTGCGAATACAGCTACCCATGTGAAAATGGCCCACCAGACCCACGAGGGCAACACAGTCAAGGACTTCAGGGCTGGCAACCATGTAGCAACGATGTAAAAACGTATAATAACGTATATGTCCCGCTGTTTTTGCTGGAGTAGTGGTTTGGAGGGTAGTGGAAACCCATCTTATAGATAAACCACCATTCTTCGCATTCTTTAAGCCACATCATTTGGACGTTGTCAAGACTGAATCGCGCTGCTGGTTTGCCCCAGCCAATGTGACCCGCTTCTCCATGCTTTGGGAAGGGAAGCCCGCAGAAATAAGAGTCCGGATCTGCGCCGAAATGTGGCGACCCATAGGGCGAAAAGCCCGGATACAGCCGAACGGATCGCCTGCTTAGGGAGATCCTTGCGGAACCAAGCAATGATGTTCCAACTTACCCATAGATCTAGGGCTACCTTCCTCATTCTTTCCAGGGATCCATCTTTTCAGGAAACCATCAAAAACCCAGAGGAAACAGCCGATTTTTGAAAAGAACCATGGTTGAAAAGAATGGGGCGTCAACCCTACAAGTATCCTTTGAGGGACCAAGCCAGAGCCACTTCTCTCCAAAGGACGGCGGCTGGTACGACGTCGAGGTCAAGGTCCTTGGAGTCATGGTCACCTCGGCTCGAGGCAGCCCCTTGGAACTTGAAACCTCTTCGTTTCGGCTTCCCTCTTGGTGTCGGACCTTTTGCTTGCGGGCCAAGAGGTACGATATGCAACTCCACCAATTAGGGAAGCAAATGAATATACATATATGAAGATATACATACATGTGTGTGTAGATATAGGTTGGCTGTTTGGACATTGGTGGTTTTGAGGTTGGGGAGGGGTTCCCTTGTGCCATCTGACCAGGGGTTCAAGTCGTCAAGCCACCAATCACCAAGCTACTTGAACGGAACAAAAAGTCGAGTCCAAGTTCCTCAAAACGAGCGAGCTCAGCTTTATGGACAAAACCCGGCTGGAACGCAACTTCCCGCATCAACATGAAGCTTGAACAAGTGAGCAGGGAGCCCCTGGAAAACGCAACCGTGAAATTATGGGATGCTTGGCAGTCCCCACTCAAGTCATATAAAGTAAACCCCTGTTCAGACACTTCTGTGTTTCCCGTTCTCCTCTGTTTTGTTCAAGTAGGGATGATGCCAAAAGCAAGGTAAACAAAAATGCCCTCGACTACAAACATCGAGACCGATTAATACAACCTGAATCGCAGGGACTCAAGCAAGAAGAGCTGAGTTGCGTGAGTTATGTGTGTCTTCAATTGAGCGATAAGGCTATGCTAAGGGGCTGCTTGCCTGTGCCTCCTCAGAGAAATAAACCTGACTATCCATCCCCTCTCTCTGATTCAGGACGTGACACGTCTTCCCGGTGAATCGCATCGCATCCGAATTTTGGGTCCGAGGGCATTGTGTCACATGTCGATATTCGTGACATTTGGCCAATATACCGCAACTCACCATGGTTTGGTGAGTGTGATTGGTTCACTTGCATCTTCCTGGTGCTTAGGGACTGTGGGAATGAACCCAGTTCCCGAGGAAACCACCGGGATTGATTGGGGTCAGACTCCAATTCTCACTCCCTGCCTATCGCGCCAGACAGCGATTTTTAGGGCATCCGCCGTGAATGCTGGAGGCTTCGGGCCTCGACGTCTCTCCTCCTCTCCCGGGAAAATCGGCCTGGCTCGACCGCGGCGTCGTGGCCGGCGTGCACGTGGCGCCCGTGGCGCCCGCGCTGCGCGCCGTCAGCACCTCGCACGGGAAGCTCGCGGGAAACAAGAGCCATCCATTTGCGGATACGTCCCCTGGACACCCTCCCACCAATTCACGTGGTCCCTTTAAAAGGAAAATGGTCTTCCAGGAGCCCTGTTAGGTTCCATGTTACTTGGTGGGAGGGCACTTCCAGTGATAGATTCCCTGAAAAATGATGGGTCCAGCGGTGATAGATCCGCTTTTAAATCAGCAGGCTGTGGGTCCAGTAGTGACAACTGCTTCTAGAACTCAACAGATGCTTAACTTAACAGTAGTGATGGATCCATTTACGTGCATAGTAGGAAACAAAGGGCCTGCCGCCCTATAAAACCAATACGACAATAGTTGGTTATCTACATGGTGGCTTGCCTGCGATCCACTGGGACTTACCTAACTTGGCGAATCGAACATCCCAGGGCATGCCAGTTTCCGTTCGAACTCCCTTTAACTTTACTCAGTTGTTCAGTGACCCTGGACAAAAATGGAACCTTCTTTTGGGAAGACCGTTTTTAGTGGAGCAGCCACCCCCCAAAAAAAAAAGAAGAGGAAAAAGGGTGCCGCTGAACAACTGAGTTTAGCCTCCCGCCCACTACCATGGAACCTGACGTTTCGGAGGGGTCGTGGAAGAGACGCTTTTCCTTTAAAAGGAACTCTCTGGTTGGTGGACGGGAGGGTAAACCAAGCCAAGCAGGGTACCGACTCCAACATTCAACACACCCTCAACCCGGTCCAGCGAATCCACCCGTTTCCGGGTTGTACATCCTATAGAGCTATGCATACACCCCCCCACCCAAGTCTTGATGCGTGTTTCCTTGGCTGAAAAAATCCCGTCGGGCCTGCCCGCGCTGGCTCCTGACGCTTCAAAGGAAGGTCCAAGGAAAGCCCCTTGAAAACTCCTTGGTGGCATTAAGGTTCATAGCCAGGGGAACCCAAAAGTCGGCCTGATCCTGGATCGGTGGATCTGCTCGCATCTGAATCCAGCCTGTTGGCTGGCCAAGCCTCAATCTGCCTCCATTCGCTCTTCGCCCCCTGGGAAAAAAAATAAGCATGTTTCCAGTAGTGAAATCGATTCCATTTAGAACCAACAGGGGAAAATCACAAATATGTGTTTCAGCAAATGGGTGGACCCTGGGATTCAAACCACCCGTAAAACAATTGGGGGTTCATATAACCACCTTTGTTTACTAAGGATCGTCATCATCCAAATTGGGTCGGCCTTTCTTTTAATGGGGGTTGAACCCTAGGCTGGAGAGACCTGCCAAATCCTTTCACCATTAATGAATCCAAGGTCTGCAGCACGTCACCTTCGCCGAGCTACTAGGTCTTCTCGGCAAATGGACACCCGGATCCCTTTTCTTCATGAGGCCAAACGGAAAACCCCCCACAAAGGAGACAGCAGGGAACCCACAAACGGGCAGTCGGAAGTTCTCCATGAAAAAATGGCTTCTTTTTGGGCCTTTGTCATCGGAAGGAGGGTTCCCAAAGAAAAGGCCGTCTTTAGAGTCTGATCCAGTTGCCCAGTGATAGAAACAATGTGAAACCTGGTTGGGGTCGACAATACTGTGGCATTGAGCCCCCCATCTGTCGCATTGCCGTTTTCTCTTCAAGGGTCATCGTCCTTGACCATCCCTACGCTAAAGGCCCAAACCCTGGGTAAATTATGGTAGCTCACTTCCTGAGTGGATGGGCAAAATAAAACTTTCTAGCTCCTCCACTAGAGAGGTTAGAATAAGGGTACCAACTTTTTTCTGTAGTCTATTTTAGTAGGGTCCCGAACCCTCCCCCCCAAAAAAGAAACGGAAAAAGGGCACTACTGACCACTGGGGGACCTAGCTTTTCTTTACCGCTAAACTGGTCCCCCCGCTCGAAAAGTGACCAAGTCAAGCCCAGGAACTCAGGCACTGAGCCGAGGTCAACTCGAGGGTTGTCTCGAATCCGGATCCAAACTTGGCCGGAAAAATCGGACCCCAGCAAAAAAAAGAAGACCTTTTTTGCCTGGTGAGTGCAAAACAAAGGGGATCCCAAAGAAGCAAAAAGACAAAAAGGGGAGCTAATTCTGGGGAAGCAAAATGGGGCCTGATTTCCCTTTGCCCTACATGGAGCTTCACAAGGGTACCCTCAAAGAACAAGCACCTTCATGAAGACCTTTCAATCGAAAGGATTCAACCCATAAATCCCAGCACCATTCATCCTCAAAACGCCTTCCAAAGAGTATGCCAAAACCAAAAAAATAGTTCTGCCCAGAAGAGGAACCAAGCGCAGCCAGCCACTGATTGGGGCAGGATAAATGAGCCCTGTAGCTCCCCGGCCATGTTTTCTGATCTTAACCTCCCGCCCGTCAGCCAGAGCCAGCCGCAAAACGGGTTCAACCTCATCTACCATTATCCTTACAAACTCCTTGAACAGCTGACGTCCATACTTCAAGGGCACAATCCCAATGCACCTGGACAAATAGCAAGGGGTGGTTCCAGCCCAAATCTGAAGTGGCTCCTTGAAGCTTGGCTCCCTTAAGCCTGGGCCCCTCAAACAGGGACCCGGATGCAGTGAATACACCTGAACATTGCAACTTGTAAATGGTGGTTTCCAACTTCATTTTGGTGTTGAAAAAGCAACATGCTTCAAATTGGCAAAACGTATCTTTTGAGGAGCCCTGTCACAAGATCGATACTTGTGGCCACCGGTTGCCTGCTGGCTTTGCGGATCCTCCCGCACCGGAAACCCCATAAACCCCGAAACCGATCCCCTCCCAAACACCTTACCTCCTCCCCCTCCCCCCCCCCCAAAAAAAAACAAACAAACAAGAAGCCGACCCAACCCGACGAAGAGCCCCCGGAAATCTGAACCCGACGAAAGGCGGAGGGCTGTCGCGAGGCGCCGGTCCCCGTGAGCGCGGCGGCGGAGCTCCAGCGCAGCACCGGCACCGCGGAGACGCTCTCGGCAGGGCGGGTTCGATGGGGCGCAGAGCGTTCGATGGGTCGGGTCGGTTCGTTTTGGTTCGGGGCCCAAGGGAAGTGTCCAATCAAAGCCATAGGGAAGCAGCTACAAAAAAACGGGGCGATCCAGGTTCTGCCATGTTTTCTTCTAGTCAGCTTCTATAATTGGATAGCTGGTCCCCGTCTGGTTATCTACATGACGGTCCGGGCCCCTCTGGCCTTGCATGATTCTCACTTCCCGAGTTTCTGGACTTCCTACTTCTTGGGCCTGGGCCATGTTGATGTTAAACAAACAGTTCAAGCCCGAAGTGAGCAGGTTTTCCCATGGTTTCCCTAGCTGTTGCTTCTTGGGAAGACCATGTTGGTGGTCAAGAAACAGCTCAATTTGTTTGGCCCATCGATCGGAAGTGAACCTACTAGAATTGGATACTTGAGGGGGCAGGGTACTTAGTATTTGGCTCGTAGGATTGGCTATTTCCCATTGAACGGAGACTTACAACCATGATAAGTGGGCTATAACCAATACTAACCAGTTCCGAAGGGCGGGGCACTTGACCAAAACCTGCCACCCGTCCTAAACCTCAAACCAAATCCTACATCAGGCTTTGAAGATGTCGCCACCGGAAAATGAAAAACCGACATGGACCATCCCATCGATTTCTCCTCACTGTCAGAGCGGCGGCTTCTTCGTTAGAAGCCGAGTGGCCCGGTGGATTTCGGGGGTCGAGCATCACGGGCTTTGGGAATGAACCGAGATCCGAGCTAAGTTCCGCGTCCCTTCCCTGAGAGCCAGCTAGGTACAAAGGGCATCTGTTGCAAAGAAACCCTCAGGGAATGAGTTGGAGTGACCCCCAAAAACGCCACGCCATCCCCTGCACCCAGCTAGGACGCTGATAATTGAAGCGAACCCATCAAACACCAAGCGTTCGGTGGTTTCCAGGTGCCGAACAATATAACGACAAATCGGGGAGTTTCAAGCCCAGCTCCTGTTCATGACCGCTACCCATCTGGCATAAAAAGAAACAGGATTGACTTTCAAGAAGACACGCCAGACCAGGCTCAAGCTTGAGGACAATGCCGCTACTGTGGGTGGACGAAATCCTGCACCACCTAAGAAACCCTGAAATGATGATTCGCCTGTAACTACCAACGGACGCTGGTTTTGCATGGATTCAAAGCGGTGCAGGAAGCCCGCATTGCAATCTGCAAGGTGCACGAACCAGCACCGCACTTGACAAACCCAAACCCTAAACCTTCGGGCCAAAATGAACGAGGCAGGTTCTTCTGGCAGAGGTCCCCCAAAAAGTTGCTTCTTAAACAAGTCTAACCACCAACTTCTTGTTCTACATGGGCGTCTTGGCTTGAGGCTATCCCCCTTTGGCTCGGTTTTAAGGGGGCACCAAAAAGGAGAAGCCACCCGTTCTGGGCTGCCCTCAGATCGCTAACAGTTTAAATTTTCTTGGGTTAAATGGAAACTGCCACTAAACACTAAGGTTAAAAAGCTAAGGGGATGTGGATGTGTGTTGTTCCACATGGGTGTCTTGGCTTGAGGGTACCCCCTTTTGGCTCGGTTTGTTATGGGGACACCAAAAGGAAAAGTCACCCATTCTTCGTTGCTGTTAACCCCCGTGCAAAAGTTAACTTTTTGGGGGGTTAGTGGAAAGCCCAACTTGATTTCCCAAAAAGTTAAAGTCTAAACATCCGTTGCCCAATAGCAGTCAAGCATCTTGAAAACTCCGATTCCTACAGAAAGGAAAGGACACGCACCCCACCTGGGTGCGCCCATACCCCGGACCGAAGCAAAAGCGCCTGGCCTCGCCCAAGACGGGCGCCGAGCGAGCGGAGGAGGCCGGGGACGACAGGTCCGGCGCCTGGAAGGCCAGCAACCGACGTCCAAATTTCGGGAGGAAAGCCCCAGACCTCGGCCGAAGTTCACTCCACTTGCTAGGGAAAACATGAGAAACTAGAGTCCGGTAGTGATAGATTCCGTGTAAAACCATGAAGAGAACATGTGATTAAGCAAATGGATCAGGAAAACATGAGAAACTGGGATTCATTTAAGATTCTTGAGCGGGACACTCCAAAAGCTTCACTGTGGATGGTTGCACAATCCACTTCGCACCACCGTTCAGAAACCCTGGTTTATGATTCGATTCACTTTCGTAAATACCAACAAACAATGGTTTCAACCATGGTTTCAACATGGTGCGAAATGGATTTCGTCCATCCACAGTACGAAGCCCCGCTTTGTAAGGACAAGAAGGTGTAGCCCCTGCCTTCAGTGGGAAGGGGGTGGGGGGTCCCCCATAACAACGCCCTGCTAGAAGGTGATCACCGTTGAGGGACCACTCAAATCGGGAATTCCTCACCTTCAGGGGGAAGGGGGTAACAAATCCCCAATTCCATTTATCTAATTAGTGGGAAAACGGAACCACAAATGGAATTCCAGGGGTCCCCTCCCCCAAATCCATTCTGACGGCGGTGGGCAAGTGGGAATTCCCCATTTTGGGGGGGGGAACCGTAAAAAAAAAGAGAGGTCGATTCGCAGCCAACATCCCTTGACGTTGGGCCCGGGAAGTGCATTTCCAACTCGGTGGGTTCCATGTATGGGACGGCTCCTGGATTCTGAGGAACCACCCTTTGTGGGTTCCTTTGCAGAAGGGCCCAGCCTAAACCCCTCCCAGGTTAGATTGGGAGTCGCAACGCGTCTAAGGAACCTCTGGGGGTAAGGTTGATTAATCCATCAGGTGCATCTATCCAAAATTTCAAAAGGTGTATTAATCCGGTTTCGACATTAAACATGGAATCCCTTTCAGGGGAACTTTGGGCTCCTGCAAAAACACATGCCACTCGGTATCGCTTTTTTTTTGACTCATGATGTGCGTTGCGCTCATGAGACTTTTAGAGTCATAGCCGCCGTTCCTTCACTTCACATTCTCGCAAAGAATGCCAACAACACCACGCAACTGCTGTCATTCAAGCAGAAACTGACTCGGAAGCAGCACGAACTTGCAAGCAAACTTGCAAGACTCCGCCATGGGCAGGCGCCTCGGGGAGTTGCACCATATCTTCATCCTACAAAGGGTTCTGCCTGCTGCAAACGACGGCAAGCCCAACCATGGAGAAACTTGAGAAACGTCCACTCCGCAACTGGCCACAAATGCTGTCCCTCATGCTTGCCTTGAGTTGCGTCATTGAGTGCTAATTATTGCACTTCCTAGTGATTTCACGATGTCGCCGCGTGAGGCCGGAGTGTCATCGGAGGCCATCTGCCCCCCCGGCTTGCAGTGCGGCTGCAAAGCTGAGGTCCTATGGCTTGCCAACGCCCAGATGGCCAACGGAGGAGCGGGAGCGCCGCAGCCTCGAAAGAGGCGAGCCGGGGCTGGGGCCCAGCGCCGCAGTGCCGGCTGGCAAGTGCTTGCGGGTGACGAGGGGTCGAAAAGCATGCGAAAACGAAGGTACAAATGAGCGATGGGAGAATCAGCCAGTTGACCGTTCCCCTACAATCTGCCTGCCTTGCTCCTCCTTGGTGAAGACCACGAGCGCTCAATGGTCTTGGCAAAAAAGTTGTGGGATCGTCCCCGGAGATGGCACGACATTGCCTGGCCTGGTGTTGGGCATCCCTGTTGAAGCTGCACATGGCACCTGAGTCAAACGCCGGATGCCCAGGGCCGTCATCCAGCCGCTCGTGCTCTTCGGCCTCTTGCTCACAAAGCTGCCGGTGCAGGCACAAAAAGGGCCGCAACCACAGGGGACCCTGAGGCATCACAGGACTTCTGCCAAGCAGCTCCCGACATAGCTCCCGCAGAACAGTTCAACAATTGGGTGAATGCGGACTCATGATGGCCAGACCTCTTCCAAGGTCCACTTCAGTCACTGTCACCATGTTGTGCTGGCCTCTGCTCGGAAGCACGAGGTCCTGTGTCAGTCGGATTTTCCCAGTGATCCCGGACGGTTTGCCAGTGTCGTCTCGAAGCTGGACGCCGGCATGGTGATGTTTGCTGCATGAGGTGCTGGATCTCATGCTATCATAGAGGCGCATGCTTGCACCAGCGTCCATCTCCTTCTCGCCAGCCCAGATCGCAACAAACAGGGTGAGCAGGGCATGGACAGCATCAGTCCCCATGCTTGGCACTTCGGGCTGCAAGCATCCGCCCTTACCCATCTTGCAAATGTCTGGTTCTCGAAAGGCCCCAACACTTGACTGAGTCGAGTGGCTGTCATGCTCTGCGCATCAAGACAATGCCGATGGTGCCACAGCTTGCAATCGGGTGCTTCCTCTGGAGGGCTACATCTGCCTTGAACCATCACCGCAGTGAAACTCTGCAAACATTGGCCCTACCAGATGATGTTTGAGCCACCAAGGGCAACATAAGCAAAAATTGTGGAAACCATTGGCTTCCTTCCGGCTGTTCATCCCACCCTCCCAAGTCCCAAAGGAACAAATGGAGTTGGCTGTTGCAAAGGGGAATCAAGCGCAAGCAGCCATATTTGGTGGCCCCACTGTGAGACGACCCCAAGTCGGACTGCGTAACCCACACACACACACACTCCGAACTCTGGAGCTTTGGGCGGCCGCTCCTGCGGCAGTTGCCGGTGGGAGCGCGTGGCGGACAGCTCAGCAATGGCCAGCGGCTGAACCGCCTCAGTGGACATGGTGGTTCCGCCGACGCCGATCACTTGCGGCCTATGGGTAGACATGGGTTCGTGTCAAGACGGCAAAACCCCCAAAATGAGGTGTGCTTTAAATTTCCCTTTTGCCAAGCTGAAACCGATGCTTCAGAAGAGGATCTGGCGGGTGAAATGATGCCTGGAAAAACTAAACAATACGAGACAGGATCCTTCAGCTTCCTTTGAGGAAACCTAACAGCCGAGAAAATGGTATTCCACAAACGACTTCAGATCTCTCGCTCTCTCTCTCGCTCTCTCTCTTTCTCCTCTCCCTTTCTCTGTCTCTGTGTGTGTGTGTGTGTGTCTCTGTCTCTCTCTGCCTTTGTCTCTCTCTGCGTGTCTCTCTCCCTCGCTGTGTATCCCCGTGTATCTCTCTCTCTCTCTCTCACTCGCGCCAGTTGTTCCTCTCTCTGTCGCTCTCTCTCTCTCTCTCTCTCTCGCTGTGTCCCTCCCTCCATCCCTCGTCCCCGCGAGGTCCAGTTTATCAGTTTGCCTTGGTATCATTGAAATCGGCCTTAAGACACTAATCCACAAGTAGGCCAGTCATGGTCTTCTCGATGCAACCCCCCCTGCCTAAGTTGCAACACCAAGTGAAATTTTGGGGTTCTGGCCCATAGGGGGTCGACTTTCTGCCCGATCCATGGTTTTCAAACAAAAGCATCTCTTTTTCCGGGGGGTCTCCCTCGGTTTGCTGCATTGCCCTTCAAACGTCCCACTTCCTGAGTCTGGCCAAAAAGTAAAGTCCAAAACTCAGGGAGTGAGACTTTGGGAAGCCACTGGTCAACAGGCCGCCCAACGCCATGCCCCCAACTTCTGCGAAAAGAAGTTCTCGCGCAGCTTCCTCAGATATCCAAAACCACATCCTTGCAGCTGGTATTTCTGTGATTTACCATGTCTTGGGTTGTTTTTTGCCATCTTGCTATCTTACATTACAGAATTCCCGGCGGTAGCTCCGAAAGAACCGCTCCCTCTTCATATGGGATGTTGATCCAAAGGTCCTTTACATGTGGGAAAGCAGCAAACACATGATATTTCCCACCTGGGCAAAGTTGCCCATGGCCATTTGGCGGCCGAAGGGAACATTGATCAACCCCTCGGCAACAGGGATCCGGATGCATTCTACACCTGAACATCGCCAAAAAGCACATGGTGGTGTCCAACTTTATTTTGGTGGTGCAAAAAACCCGCGCCATGTTTCAAATGGATGGGCCAAGTGCATCCATCTTTCCAGTGGAGCTGGTTGCATCGGAGACCGGGGCCCATGGGCTTAAGGGCTCCCCTTGGGCTCCAAGCCGGCGGCTTGGCCATCGGGTGAACTGCCTGATCCGTTCGCCCAGACCAGGCGATGGGTTTGGCGATTCATGTACAACAAGTCCCAGGCGATAGGCGCGCGAGATTTTTGCCAAGCCGTTCTCCCAAAGCCCGGCTTTTCAAGGCCATGCCTTGAGCCATTTTCCTGTTGGGCGTCTAAAGGGTAAGAAGGTGTTGGTGACCTACAAAGCCAGGGAAATGGAAAGCTTGGGTTAACTTGAGCAAAACGCATGGCGTCCCTTTCGATGGCCGGGGCCTACACAACCCACTTTCCCTCAAGATTGGCCCAAAAGCTCGGGAAGTTCTTGACCATGGTACCCAACCTTAACCCCGGAATTCATGGGGCACGAACCTCCGTCTGCACGCAATCCAACCGGCTGGTCAAAACTCAACGGATCTGCGCGCCATCGAGACGGCTCTGGGAATCGGTATCGAATCAAGAATCAAGGGGTTGATGACCCGCCCCGGGGGGTTGCTAAAAATGGCCTTTCGCTGGTTCCTGTCGGCGTCCGCGCCACAAAAGTAAGTCAAAGGTGGGGGCGCATGGAATTCCAGGGGGCTCCCGTCTCCTACCTCTGCAAACCAAACAAAGGTGAGCTCACCTTGAGGTATCAGGAACCCCACCCCAGGATGACCTTGGTTGAAAGTTGCCTCAAAATGGAAACCCACCACTCACCGAAGCTCACGTTTGCACACTGTTTGAAGGCAAGCCAGCTTTCCAACCAACACGAAACGCAGAACCCCGGGCGCTCCGCGCGTAAGCCCCATAGCAATCCGTATGGCACCTCCCTCTGCTTCCCCTCAACTGCAGAAACGTCAAATGCAATCAGGCAATAGATGTACACAGGTTGCTGCTCTTTGTTTTGTTTGTTTTGTTTTGTTTTTGTTGAAGTGTTACTCTCTTTTTATGATCATTATATATGTTTTTCTGTGGGGCTGGGAAGGGGACGTGCCGCAGGAATTCTATATATGGCCCCGGTCTCCACAGGCCTTGCTGGGCGGCGTGATGGACCGCTGCACCACCGAGATGCGCTGAACCTGAGCTCAGCACTCCGCCTTTCAAAGGAGTCACCGCAGTTCTTTTCCCCAACTCAGCCTCTCCGGCGAGAAAAAACAACTGCTATTTTTTCCCTTGGACATTTCAAGAATCATCTGACAGGAATGAAAAGGTGCCGTCTACTTTCACCTAGGTGGAATTACACTCCCTCAGTCTAACATGGAAGCTCCCAGAAGGGCTTCGTAAATGGAACTCAGTCTTCCAAAGGGTCCTGTTAGCCTGGCGGAGGATAATCTTTGTCTTGTTGGGTGGTTTCCGCACGTGATTCAGTAGATGGCATAATTCCCGCTTGCTAGGAATGACCTTGGGTAGGAACTCTGGGGGAATGAACCCAACGGTAACTTGAACCGCCAGAGGCGCTTCAGAGGCGGCGTTGGGCCCCCCCCCATGTGTGTTGCTTTCCACATGAACCTACGAAACGGACGGGGTGTATCGAGATACAGGCACAGGTTACCACCACCAATGGTCACAGCATGATACTGTGGATGGGCACAAATCCCACCCTACGTGGGGTGTGCGATTTCCCCGACCGAGGTTGAGTCAGTCTTCATTCCCAAGGAGGTTTGATATAAACAGCACCGCAGCATTTTCACTCCAAGCGATGCTATACGAGTATGATAACCCACCTTTGCCTGTGGGATTTGCGTTGGTATCCACAGCATGAATTTCCTCATGCTGTGGCCCAGTCAATTCGCCGATTTCCTCGGCACATCGGGTTTACCCCCGATAAGCTCTGGATGCCCTGCATCAAGCAGGATACATCTCCCACCACAGAGCTAACTGACTGACTGGGGGCCTGGTTTTCCAGGCATTCCCCAAGCGCGGCGCGCTCTTCAAAGTTCACGGACGTCCCAACTAGGGGGGCCGGTGAACTAGGGCGGGATAGGGTGGGGTTAAAATTTAGCCAGTTTGGATCATACTTGAGCCAAAAGGCCCCGCATGATCCAATACACTCCTTGCAGAATGAAGCCTGTAAACCCAAGCCTTCCAACCTGATACAGGATTACATTCCCAAGGAGGTTTGATATAAACAGCACCGCAGCATTTTCACTCCAAGCGATGCTATACGAGTATGATAACCCACCTTTGCCTGTGGGATTTGCGTTGGTATCCACAGCATGAATTTCCTCATGCTGTGGCCCAGTCAATTCGCCGATTTCCTCGACACATCGGGTTTACCCCCGATAAGCTCTGGATGCCCTGCATCAAGCAGGATACATCTCCCAAAGCACTTACTTTCACAACCTCTCCCAATGCACTCACAGGAACTCAGCGAAGGCAATCACTGCGCGGTACGGAAGACTCAGTAGAGCTGGAGGGAAAAGACTGAAATTCAGCTTGAAGTGGTTGGCCCTGTACCATGGGTCACTGGGTCCTAATCGGCTGATCGCGTCGGCCCAATTAGATTTGGATGGAATGTATTCCCAGTAAAGTGAGGCTCGCAACGCAAAGAGCAAACACTGAATGTACGTCGCCAAGTCGGGGTTGTCACTCCTGCCCCTGATCAAACACATAAGACTGGCGATGTTATCGATGAACCACACCCCGCGTCTCCCGCGGAATTGGTCGGGTCTCGCTGTGAGGGCGTGCACCACCATGAATAGCTCCAACTGGGCTATTTTATGGTCGCCTGCTCCCCACATGTCATAGACCTGCGAGGGGATGATGGCCACAAAGGCTTCCCGGATCTGCACGCCACCGTCCTGGAAGACGAAGTGGTATCCGCCGGACCCTTGACGGGGTGCCTCCAAGGCCCTGCTGTGAAGGCTGCTGACCGCATAGGTGCCTCCAGTGCTTGCTGCCTCAACGGGTTGGACAGGTCGTGCCCCGGGTCCAGCGACCAGTCGATGGGCAGCACCCTCCAGCCACAGAAGAGAAACGCCTTTGCCAGGGGCATGTTAAGACCACACATGAGGTCGACCATCAACGGGCCGTCTTCCTGGGATCCGGTGTGGGGGTGCGAGAGTTCTGACCCTATGGGGGAGTCCCCCTCCCCCCCAAGACTTCTTCGCCGCCCGGCACTCCTTGGCTCCGTGGTTCTGCATCCCGCAGACTCGGTCTCCCCTGAGGATCGCAGCGCACCGCCTTGCATTGCCCGTGCTGAAAAGCCTGGCATAGCACGGTTCCATCTCTCATGGCCCGTGCGACCGCTCTTCCCGCGATCGCCCGTGCTGCCGGGTTGGCAGGTGACGCCTGCTGGGCGCTCCTTGGTCGGCGCCGAGAAATTCCCGGCAGGGACCCAGTGGGCGTCCCGTGCTTCGTACGTGGCCTTGATGACCTGGCCCAGCGTCAGGGTGGACTCCCTGAAACGGCTCACCCAGTCTGCCCTCTCCTCGGTGTCCCTCTGCAGGAGCCATGCGAGTCGGCTGGCATGGGGCAGGCTGGCCGAGGTGCGCCGGGCTCTCGCGTGGTAGCGCATGACCACGTCCAATGGCACGAAGACGAACTTCGTGGTGTCCGCCCCAGCACGTCTTCCTCCTTGGCCGAGGGCGCGTTGTCCAGCGCCTTGACCCCGCCCAGGGCGTAGGCCAGCAGCAACGTGAAAAGCCTGTCCAGGTACGTCTCCCAGTCCTGGTGCCCGGGCTGCTCGTCGTCCGGCTCCTCCGTCCACAAGCCTTCCCCAAGCTTGCGCTTCTTGCTCGAGGTACCGAGCTGTCATTGCAAGGTTTTCACCTTCCAGACGGATGTCACGCACAAGAGACGCTTGGACATTTCCCTGGAAGCATTGGCATTGGACACGGCCGCGTCACTGGGGTACACTTCCGTGGGGAATCTGAGCTTGTAACGCACCCAAAAAGCCTTGGCTGATCTCAACTCAGTGTCCCCGAGGAGGGAATCGAGATCCTCGATAGCGACCCGCGAGCGGTCCTGCTCGGCGGTCTTATAGTACAACGAGACCGCGTGCCAGGCTCTCCGCAATCTGGCTGCTTGGATTTGAGCCTCCGCTCCCAACTGGATCTTCCCAAGCCAAGGTTCCACCTTGGCCTCGGCATCGAAGAAGCGGAACTCTTCCAAATTGGCGATGCCCGCCTTGGAAAGCGCTTCCACTACCTCCGCTGCCAATTGAAAATTCTTGCCGAGCCTGTCCAGGCAATCGGCCCCGTCCGACGGCACAAGGGATTCAAGGGAAGCCGCCATGCGATTTCCAGGGGAGAGACACAATCACTCGGGCCTCAAAGACTTCCCAAATCATGAAACGGGAGGGGGGAAAAGATGGGGCGCACAGCCGAAATCCGGTTGATCCGCATTCCGCGGCCGACGGCCGTACGGGAGGTAACGCCCCCCGGCCTCCTCCCTGGTATCCCCAGGGTGCCTGCCACGGTGCATGGTGACTCGGTTGAAACTGTCTGAAAAACGAATGCCACATGGTCGACTGGCTATGCTCCGTGACTCATGCATGTCGGGGCAAGCTGGTGCCTCACCCTGCCGCTCCCGTTTTCCACACGGAAGAATGGATCAGGCAAATGCCCCGCGGCACTCCTATGGCGTGCAAAATGGGGGACTAAATTCGGGCAGCCCGAATCCGGCGCCCAAGGGCCAAAATCGGCTCACTGGGGGAGGAAACTAGCCGGGCACTTGCTCAGGCAAGTCCGGCAAAAGCGCTGCTCCCACGCGATGGCCTCGAACTTGTCCGAGGTAGTCAGCGGGTAGGCCAGACGATCAGCTCGGCGAGCTGCCTGCTTGTGCTGGCAGAGCGGGTAGCCCTTGGCTGTGCTGATGTGAACCTGGCTCTTCGCAGAAACCGGCTCAGAGATGGGAACTCGCCAACGCCTGATGCACCCATCCGGCCAGCTTGCGGTCCTGCAGGGTCTTGGTAATTTCCACATCACGGCATCTCCGGATTTCCCCCGCCGCATCCGCCAGGCTGATCCCCTTCAGCATTGACAGCCACATCGCTGCCGCCAGAGCGGCTCGGTGACGCCCCGCCATGCAGTGGAGGATGACGACATCTCCATGGTAGAGCGAGCGCCGCACCAAGGGCCAGATCCGGTCCCAGTCCTCCTGCCTTCGATCGGCGTGGGCGATGGCGAAGTACTCCACGTGAGCCCCGGACAAGGGAACACCTTGCCGCTGGGCCAGCCTCTCCGGGAAGCAAACCACCTGGAGGCTGCATGCTGGGAAGGCCGCAGCCGTGACCGCCGTGGGGATGCCCGCCAAGAAGAGGGCTCCTCCTTTCACGTTGTTGTAGATCAGCAATGGGATCTGTGCGGACTTCCCCCTCACGGTTGCCAACCGGTCCCATTTGCTGTCAGCCGGGATCAGGCCCAAGCACTCCGGGATCTCCAAGAAGTTGCCCGGGACCTCGGCTGGCTCTGCTGGGCGCCTGGTATCCACCGAGGCGGGAACCTCACCGATCTCCGCATCCTCAACGTCCACAACATGGTCGGCTGCTGCAGCCTCACGAAGCTCCTCGGCCGACGGTCTGGATGACATGGGCCCGGCCGGGGCGATTGGCAGTGGCGGGGGCAAGATTCTTTGGCGCTTCTTGGCCGGTGCCTCCGATGGCGCCCCTGCAGGGTGGGTCGCTCCCACCTCCACAGGGTCAGCCGGCACGGGCAGCCCCAGCTCGCGAAGCTTAGCCTCGGTCATCCGCCGCTTCGCTCGGCACTCGCTGGCCGGGTGGCGCCCTCCGCATGCTCTGCCCGTCTGCTGCAACATCGCGCACAAGTGCTCCCTTGCGCACGGGTCCTGGCGGCACTCCCCCGTGTTGAAGTCCGGGCACAGGGCTGTGCCGTTCTTCAAATGCCCTGTGAGGAAGATCTCGCCCAGCCTGGATGGCATGGCCTTGACCGCAAGGCGCCGGCCTCCTCATCCCCTCACGGGCGTTGCGCACGAGCGACTGGCTCAGGGAGAAGCGCCTCTTCAGCGCCGTGGTCTGCGGTGCCTGGGCCCAGATCACCTCTGTGTCCCCCCGGCACGCCTGGGCGGCCTTGATTTTGGCCTCTTCGTCGGCCTCGGCGATCTCCTCCTCAGTGACCGTCTCCCAGGCCTCGCAGTCTGCGACCTTCGCGGCCACGAGGAAGGCTCTCATCTTGGTCCGCATGGACAGGGCGTACTTGCCGCCGCTGTAGTGGAACGGCATAGAGACGCGCTCCTCGACCTTGTCCTGCCAGTCTTCCAGGGAAACGATCTCAGAGTCCTGATTGCGGAGCCCACCGTCGGCAGCAAACGCCTCCAGGAATAGCTTGTGAGCTGCTCAAGGGGCTCCACCACGCCGTGGTAGAGGTGCTGAGTAATTAACCCTCTGCACCTCCCGAATGGGCCAAGCCTGGCCAGAGACTGGATGAAAGCAGATGCCGCACTTATCGTGCCCTGGTAGTCCTCCAGCCACTTGTCAGCCCAGCGCCAACCGTTGGAGAAACGGGCTGGTGCACACCAGTCGAAACCCTGCCGGTTGTGGGCCTGCTTCCCTTTGTGGCAGTGGCCATGGAAAAACTCCCTGCTGATCTTCACCGGACTGGACAGGCTCAGGTGCTTGTCGCGCAGGCAGCCCGATGCCACAAGCCACGACGAAAGCGCTGCTGTCCACGCTGGATCGCGGGCTTGCTGCATCTCGATGATCTTGCCCTCCAGGGTGAGCAGCATGGGCGGTTCCACCACCACTGCCTGGGACCTCGCCTTGCGCACCTTCCCAATAACCTTGGGGGGCTTCAGGCGGTCCAGCTGCCACTGCAACCTGCCATTGTTGGACAGCCAGCGCAAAGACTGCAGCGCTCGCGAGGGCGACATAGCCTGCTCGAGGAAGGCGTGAAAGTCCAACTCCTCTGGGTCCTGCACGTCCCTGGCTGCGAGGAAGAGCGAGAGCTCCTGGAACGTCCTCACAGCGTTCAGGATCGTTGACTCGTTCCTGAGCAAGCCTCCGAACCGCTTGCTGCCAGTCAGCGTAGCGCTTCGGGTCATCATGCCTCCGAGGTCGAAGGACACCCAGCTTCATGAAGGCCTCTGTCAGCAGGTTGACCCTGCGGCCGACCGCCTCGGCGTTATCCGGGTTCTGCCTCAACAGCAGGCCCACATTGCTCGTTGGGAGCCGCACCGCCGGCCGGCGGAGGGTCGATGGCCCCACCGGCGTCACTCGCCAGGGATCCACCTCCACCACTGCCGCAGCTGCCGGGAGAAGGTGGGCTTGCTGCTCCGCCCGCACCCGCGCCCACCAGCGGCTACGAAGTGGCCCCGCACGCGGACGGCATCCTCGAAGGCCTCAAAGGCGAAGCCGAAGTCGGAGTCCTGCATCGGCCTGTGCTTCTGCCGAAAGGCACGAACGTTGGCCTCCTGGACACGAGACATGAGCCCCTCGGAGCCGCCCGGCTCGCCCCCGGAATGCTCATAGCGCCCAGGAGTAGCGTCACCGCGAAACGCCATGGCAAGGAGCAGCACCCCCCAGCGTAGAGCCTTGGCAGCAACGGATGGGGCAGGCTTCACATTGGTGGATGCCGCATGATGCGCAAACAGAATGAGCCCTGCTGCCGCAGTAGGGGCAAAACCCGCCCAAAGGGAGGTTCCTCCTCCCTTCGTCCAGCCACCCACGGAGAAGCCTCCCCGCTGTGGCTTTGGCCAGGGAGTCACCCTCCCTGGGCCATGGCTCGGTCCAATACGAAGGGGAGGTCGCCCGATTCCACCCGTCCAGCAATGGCGGAGACATACATCGGAATGATGTCCTGGGCACGGAGGCCACTGCCTGCTTCAGCCACCATGGCCTCTGACAGGCGATCCTCCTCATAGCACCCATGATAGGCGGCCCAGGCCTCCTCTGCGGATACACCTTCTTGAGCCAAGACTGCACGCCGACACCAGGTGCCAATGAACGGGAACTTGACACGTCACATCTTGCACACTGGTCATCGGTGCAGGGTGAAAATTGCAAGTGGGGTATCTCCCCACTATCAACCAAGGGCAGGGGTGCTTGCATGAAGGGGGCATGCAACACTTCCACGGCCGAAAGCCAGAGCAGCCGGGCCTGGCCATGATTCCCCTGCTCCAGCAGAGTGCCCACATGGCGCTTGAAGTCGATGTAGGCGCCTGCAGACAAGATCGGCCGATCCGTGTGGACGGCCAAGTCAACTCCTGGAACTGCCAACATTCGACAATTAACCCTTGCCGAACACGCAAAACCAGAAGTTAAAAATTTAGCCAGTTTGGATCATACTTGAGCCAAAAGGCCCCGCATGATCCAATACACTCCTTGCAGAATGAAGCCTGTAAACCCAAGCCTTCCAACCTGATACAGGATTGGAATTGGTGTCTTCGTTTCTCACCAACAGGTTTTGTGGCCTTTTGAACTGTGGACGTGCGAAAGCCTGCACCACCTCGGATTCGAATGGATGCGACCCTACAGACATTAGCCTAACTCGTGAAGGCCGGCGTTCCATATTCAAACTTTGCACAAGTTCAGAGCCAATCCTTCGTTCAGACGTCTCACCTCTTGGCAGTGCCCCAAAAGCTACGTAACACGGCCTCTTTACAACCAGAGACTTGCGACGCAGTCTCCAAGCCCCACCTACGCAAAGTGTACCGGCTGACCCCAGGCAAAGCAGAGCCGTTGAGCTCCACTATAGTTTGGCCCTGAAAAGGAACTGAACCAGAGAAACATAACGAGGTTTCTTATACACTACGACGGCCTACAACAATGTCAACAAATAACTGATTCTGCTGCTTTGGCTCCTTTATTTTGTGTGCGCGGGGGGGGAGGGGGGGGGAGAACCGCTCGCCTTTGCGACTCGCCTTCACGAATTTGTGAGGCTGACCGATTTTGTGGCACACAGGTCGGCTTCACATGCAAAAGCCGGGAATAACAAAATAAGCGACCATGTCTTGCTTTCTGCGCGGACTCCAAACAAAAGAGAAAAAGGCAGAAGGTGAAAGTAGATACTTTTATGGCCAACTACAGGGGCTCACTAAACGAAAGTGGATTGGAACCGTGCCTTGAAAGTGCCTTGTACTTTCGTCCAACTGCCGCTTCCGCTTCAAGGCATTAAGCCGAAAAATCACCACAACAAACAGCAGTTGGCACGCGTCCGATGGCGGGGAGTGCGTCGCCGGCCCGCGTGCGTCTTGCTTTAGGAATCGGAGGGCCCTCCAAATTAGTGGCTTGGGGTCCCAAGACCACGAAAAGCGGGGTACCCTCAAAAGCGGACACACCCGCATTGACATCTACTTTCTGGCAGTCAGTTGGTTCCGCTTGCAAGCCAACTTTAACTGCGTGTGCCTTGTATGTGTCTGAGGTTCCTTCAACTTTGGTTTGCACACCAAAACTGGCCCCACCGGAGGAAACAAGGCACACAAATCGATTTGCGCTGATTTGGCCATGTTGTTTTTTGTTTTTGTTTAAAGTAACCCGATCGGACCCAGGAAGACGTCGGAAGGAACCTTCAGGGTTTCCGAGCCCAAACATGCCTCCCCATAGCTCCTGGAACAATTAAATGATACACTAGACACATAAAAACACCAACACTCAAGCGCAACTTTTGTGCCTGGCGCCCAGGATCTTGTTGAGAGAGCCCCTGGATGACTTTGGTGCCGTGCCCTCGGATGCCGGGCTTCGCCGGGCTTCCATGATGGACACCCGGCGGATCGATCCGAGCACCGGGCCGCCATGGGCATCGTCTGCGTCTGCGCCCGCGACACCGGGGAGTGCACCACCTAAAACGCGCGCCGTCGGCCGTCGGCCCCGCGAAGAAACATCGCAAATCCACGGCCGTCACCTGCTGGGGGCGACTGTTTTTGACTGGCTTAAGTGTATCGGCCTCTAAGGCTTGTCCAAGTTCCTTACTTGGATGTCTGGGCCTGGGCAGGTTAGTAATTAGTAAGCGGGTAGCCACTTGGGTCACATCCCGTAATAGCAAGGTTCACCCCGCTTAGGCGACTCAAACGTGGGTTGTCACTTTGGTTGCCTACGACTTGCTAACGTGGCCGAACACCCAAGTACCCAAAACAAGTGAATCAACTGAAGGAACCAAAAAGGGGGTCCGATTGCCAAAAGAAGTTTCCTCTAAGCATGGGTTTGTTGGGCTATGTCAACCCTCCAGAAATGCATGGTTGACCCGAGTTGAATGACACTTCAAGGAAAGAGGCCTGAAAAAGGGAGAAGTTGGGCTCTTTGGCCCCTTAGTTCCCTTCAGGATGCAGCAAACCACTCGCTTTTCTTCAGCGGATCCTCGAAACTCAGTTTTTGCAGAACATTGAGACTCCGAACGCAACAAGCCAGAGGGCTTGTTTAACGGGCTCCAAAAAATGGGAGCTGGGTTGCGCCAAAACATCGAATTTTAAATGTGCAGCATCCCAAAAGAACCCATTTGTTAGAATCCATTTTCCTGACTATCTTGCCCATGCTTTTTGGGTTTATGCTTATTGAGCCTTGCTTGCCCGTATCCTCCGCAAAGTCCTTTCAATGTGAACCTCGTTTGGACAAAGAACCCATTCACCTTTCGTGCACCCAAAGCTCCCTGGATTAAGGGCACGCCTTTCTGCCAGCCCAACACTAAGAAACAAATAGAGAAGGGCATTGCCCATGCATGCCTATACCAGCTCCAATCATAACCCGAAGGGTTGCCGCAGCACCTTCAACCGAAACCCACCAACTCTTGTTTCTAGTAGCATTGTTCTATATACGATACCAGTAGGTCCACCTACAACAATGGCAAACAAGGGCTTGGGCGCTGCTCTAATGGTCCACTACTAAAGTTTGTTCAACAAATCTGAGTATGACAAGCTCATATGCGGCGTGCACCCTTCAAAGCTCCGATATGGTGATTCAAAGGGACCCCCCCAAAAAAAAAGAAGCTCGGGCGATATCCCCAACAGCATTACACCCTCCCACAATCCTCGCGGAACGCCCCTGGACCATCCTTACCGCCGGTGTTGCTGAGGATGCCGCCTTGTAAAGCAAAGCTACGAGTGTCGGGGCCCGACGGTGCAATCGGGCCCGATCGGGGCCCGACGGTGCAATCAGGGCCCGATCGTCCCGTGGTGCAACCCCACGCATATTTTAGCTCAACGCCGGTTTTCCTTAGCATGCGGATTGCAACAGTACCTATATGCCAGCGTGGTACAGTTGATGGGGTCCGACGCGATTGCGCAATCGGGGCCGATCGGGCCCAAACGGCGCAATCGGGCCCCGACAGTGCAATCGGGCCCCGGCCTAGGCCCGGTGAACCTCGCAAACCGTTCTCGTGAAACTTTGTTGCAACCTTTCTTCAGGGCTGCCCCGTAGCTTTTGCAGAACCTGGTGGAAACCTTGTGGAACGTTTTTGGAACCTTACCTCATAGCCCTCGCTCGTGGAATTCTTGGAACCCAAAGCCCACCAAGCAGCAATGCCAAGCACTTACTCTGCTGCACCGTGAGTCCCGCAGCGACGTGATCTGATTTGCCACAAAGCCAACATTTGCCTGAGCAAGTGAGCAAGTCACAAAACAGTGAAGGTGTGCTAAAAACCATTGATTTCGGTTTTGCTTAGTGTTCCGCCCATGAGCAAAGCGATCTTCACCCTGCAGCCCTGGTGGAACCCTCGTGGAAGCTTCCTTAAACCAGCCCGGACCATCGAAGAAATTGGTGGAACCCTTGTGGAACCTTACCTCAAACCACCCCGGACCACCCCGCAGCCCTTGCAGAACCTGGTGGAACTGGTGGAAACCTCGCAGATGGTGGAACCCTGGTGGAACCCTGGTGGAACCCTCGTGGAACCTTCCTCAAACCAGCCCGGACCACCCCGCAGCCCTCGAAGAAATTGGTGGAACCCTGCTGAAACCCTCGTGGAACCTTACCTCAAACCACCCCGGACCACCCCGCAACCCTTGCAGAACCTGGTGGCCCTGGTGGAAGCCTCGCAGATGGTGGAACCCTGCTGGAACCCTGGTGGAACCCTGGTGGAACCTTCGCTCAGGGTCGCCCCGAACCACCCCGGAGCCTATCTGGGCTTTGACCGCAAAGCTTCCAGCTGTTGGGGAACAAAAACAAAGTATCTAATTGCAGATACAGTCATATACATATATAGCCTGTGCTTCCAGGGGACGCCATAACGTGAAATGTAGAGGTAGCCACACATGGCTACCTACTATAGTGGTAGCTGGAAGCACGGGGACATATCATAAAACAAAACATTTGGAGTGTCTTGATGTTTTGAAGACTTTGACCCCCCATGAGGCCCCCCGCTGACACCCGGATGGGCGGCGGCGTGTGGCTCCTCGCTCCGGTCGCTGCGATCCGCGGCGTTGCTCGGGGGACCTGGAGCTTCGCGCGCGCCCGAGATGAATCTATTTGCCAGCCAAAGCTTCCAACGTGTCCAACAAAAACCCACCCAAAGCTTCCAGCCAAAGCTTCCAGCCAAAGCTTCCAGCATGCCCGAAATCCAGCCAAAGCTTTTCACCCTTACCAGCAAAAGCCCAGGATAAACAACTGGTTGCGCAAATCTCGCTGTGGGTTGTTGCGAAATCCGTTCGCACCAGGGCGCTTCCCCATTCTTTCCAGGGACCAGCAAAAACCCTGAGGAACAGCTAATTGTTAAAAAGAACGATGGTTGAAAGACTTGGGAAGAAGTCGGCATACCTCAAATATAGTGGTCATACATGGGTTATCCAGGGTTCCCCAAAAACCATCCTTATAACCATTATAGGACCCTGTTGGTTTGGTATGTGCGTTTGGGGTATGCAAGTTGGCCCCATCAAACAGAAAAAATAGATCCGAGTTTGCAAAGGCAACCCTTCGTTCCGCTTTCCTTTTTTTACATCCGCCTACCTTGACTTAAGGAGGGGGGTGGGGGGTCCCATTCAATCATTCCATTTATCCATCATCAACCAAAAGTGGCAGTCCGGAGGTCACCTCCCTCCAGCCCCCTCCCCCCATTCCGTTCTTGAGGGTTCCCTTCTTCAACCGCAAAAAGGGCATCTTCAAGAAAGGCAAGACCCGGTGATTCCGCAGAAGGCCTGGTAGCCCAGAAACGCAGAAACAAGTGCTCCGAACGAGGTGTTGGCTTAGTGACCTGAACAACCGCGGATGTCCATCGATTCTGCACACCTTCCAGAGTCCCTGGATTTTCCGATGCTGAGCCATCCGTTGCTCCAAACCCTGCTAGGCTAAACCAAAGGTCCCTGGAAAGGCCCAAGAAAAGGACCCCAACATTTAATTTGCTGAGCGCATGGCCGAAAAGAAGGAATTCCTCGAAAATTTCCCCCTAAAAAAATAATCCTTCTCACTTCCCCGGCGCCCGGGGAAAAAAACAACGAACTCATGGAACCGCTCTTTCCGCCTATGGCCCGAGCCCGAGCTGCCGCGAATTGCTCCGCAACGGACCCCCGGAGCCGGCGACCCCGGCCTCGATGCGCGCCTCCTGCACCAGCTGCCGGGGCCGGCCCCGCGGGCTCGGCCCCGGGCTGGGCTCGGAGCCCTGGACGGAGCTTGGGCCAAAGCCCAGGTGATATCCCCAGCACCACGCCAGGGGACCTAAAAAAACAAAAAAGACTTAGACTCTCAAAAAACTCTTGGCCTGGCTCCTAGGCTAGGTTTTTAATAGGTTTCTCATGTACCCTTGCGACACTTTCTGCTCCTACAAGCACGGAATGCTGAGAGGGTACCTAAAACACCTAGCCGGGGAGCAGAAAGTAGGGTAGTATGGGTTCTGCAGATGCGGAAGGTCCTGCTCAGCGTGCGGATTGGATGCGATGTGTGCGATGCTCGGAACCGCCACGTGCGTTCCAGCAACCCTTGCGGAACCCTGTGGAATCTTACCTCATCCCCAGATCCCTCTTGGAGCCCTTGTGGATCCCTGCAGCCCCAGAACCCCCGCGGAACATTTGCAGAATCCTCCAGTGATAGACTACCCGCGAAGACAACCAAGCAAATGGAAGCTAAGCGGTTGGATGCGATTTTTGTTTGAAATCCAACCCTGTAGGATAGCAAAAGTGTACTAGACAGAGTACTCAAAAAGGCGCAGCGGGTAAGAAAATCAGAACACGCTTTTCCGATCCGTTTTCTGGACGCTCTTACGGATTGGTGGTGAGGTATTCGGGGGCTGGTTTCCCATACAAGCACCAGTCCAAATCCCCAAGCGGAAATCCAAAGCACCAGTTGCTTTGGGTACCTGAATCATGGATCCAATATGTCGATGGTGTCGCCAGAAACCGGAGCCAGGATGATAGGAGTCCTTTCCCTTGCCCCTTACAACTGGGCGCCCTTCCACGGAAAAACATTAAAGACATACAGCCTGGCCAAGCAGCGGGTGTCACACTGCCAACCCTTGAAAGATGTTACCCAGAGGATCCCAGTCGCCAAAGTAGGCAACCAATCATTTTCCTTCTGGCGTTTGAAGGGTGGTTCCTTTTGGTTAACCATACGAGTAATTGGATCCACTGGGTTGGACAAACTGCCCCCCCAGCAGTCTTCTACACATATGTGACTGATGGTGGCCAGTGGGCAAGCCCATTGAGGAGCAAGTAATTCCTGTACCCATTTCAAGGGAGACATTGCGCCTGGCTGGAAAAGGAGGCGTCCAGCTCGGAGCAATTCACCACCTGCACCGCGGACCGCTCGAAGCTTTGACGTGACTTCTTGCTGAGGCTCGGTGCCCCCGTTTTTGGCTGGTTTAAAGGGGAACTGGCCTCATTATGTTACCATGATCAAAGTCACCCCCTAAGTTGTGGATTAAAGGGAAACAACCCCATTTGCTGACTTTGATAACCCCCAGAAACCGTCAAAATAATGACCCCAGAAGAACCAACCATTTTGAGGTTCCCCTATTTGGGAGACAAACCCAACAGGACCCGGACATGAGAAAATCAATATAACCCTTTGGATTGCCTAAGGGCTGCACTGGGAAAACCAAAGGTCGACTGCATGTTGGGCAATTCAAAGGTTGCGAGCAAGCCAACACTCGAGCCGAAGGCAGCTGGGCAAGCCAGAGTATTCCCCTCCTGGGGCCTGAAACGACTAAAAATAAATGGTTGCTTTGTCTCACGGCCGTTCTTGACTCACATCGCCCGAAACTGGCCGGACCAGGGTGGCTGACAGGAAAGCAGCAGAATCTGCATGGCAGGGATGTACTCACAGCCGGTAAAATGACTTGCAGCCCAGCCTAAGCAAGAATAGTAAGTCCATATGACAAATTAAGAGCACAACAAAAGAAGCGGGAAACCTCAGTTTGTCGCCATGTGTTTGCCAATATGGATGACGCGCATAGGTTCCTTCGGTGTGGGGACCAAAGATTCTTCAATGCTAAAACTGCGAACCGAAAATAATCATATTTGGTAAAAGGCCCATGCAAAGTGTCTTCTTCAATGCTCGCATGCAAAAGTCATGCCAACGTTGCACTGAAATAGTGAACCGCGGGGCTTGTACCCAAAATGAGCGAATTTACTGTTGTCCCAAAACCCGCGGCTTAGAAAACACGTACTTTGGGACACCACCAAAAAAAACAACACCGATTGCAGTCAGCTGTACTTAAGTAGGACAGTTTCGACTTTTAGATTCTGGATGTTGAAAGGGTCCCATGCATAAAATAAATAACTGCCCTTTTTCGACTGGTACAGATGCATACCTGAACGCTGCGTATTCGAAGAACGTATTTCGATCGAACCATCCTGGGTCTCTCGCATTCGAGCTCAGGTTGATTGGCCAATCACCGTTTTTGTTGGTCGAAATTGAATTTTGAAACAACTGTTCTTACCCGTGCAACGCCCATTCCTACCCGTGCAACGCCCATTCTTACCCATGCAAACGACCAGATTCAAAAAGCCGCGTTTTTTTCGGATCTCAAATTGTGTTTGATCGGCATCGAATTCAATTTTGCCCGGTCGCTTTCGAAACGTAGCTTTCGAAAAAAATATTCGAAATAGGCTTTCAAAAAGGGCTTTCAAAAAGGGGGGGCTTTCGAAGGCGGGCGCTAAGAAGGTTTCGAAAGGCGGCTTTCGAAAGGGGGGTTTGAAAGTGCGAAATAGGCTTTCAAAGGGGTCTTTCAAATGGAGGCTTTTGAAAGAGGGGGTTTGAAAGCGGCGTTCGACAGGTTGCTTTCGAAAAGGGGTTCCAAAGAGGTTTTTTCGATGTTTCCGAAAAGGAGCTTTCGAACAATATGTTGCCTTCGAAGCATTATTCGAGAGCAGGCTGCGTATCAAATGGCAGAACTGATTGCGTGCGAGGAAAAAGGCCAAGAGAGCTTCACATCAAAGAGCTTTGAATTGGACAATTGTTGGATCAGTCGAACCCTGGTACGCTTTCGAAAGCTGGCATGCGCCATCGATCATGGGTTCCTAGACTTTTAAAACAACTGGACGCAGTAGGAAAGCTTTTGCGTTATTCTTTGAGCGTTCGCAGAAAAGGGGCTGCGGAAGAAGTGCCGCACAAAATCTTGAAACTTAATTCAGTCATCCGACTCTCCTGAAACGGCCGTGTTTGGAGCAAGCGGCCGTTCTCACATGTCCCACCTCTGGACGACTATTTAGATTTGGTCTTTTGGGGTTCCAGGCTGACATCACAAATTAGCAAGCAAGTCTCTGACTGAATGACTAGATGACAAGATGAGTGAAGGTGAACGAACGAACAAACGAACGAATGGACTCCTCGGTTGCTTTCTGCTCCCCTGCTAAAAATTTAACTTTTAAATGGTTTCATGGAAAACCCATTGGCAAACAGATATGAAGTCCTAGCATCCCTTGGCAAAATGCACCTCTGGAACCCTGCAACGCCAAAGAACCGCCACCTCGAAGCCAGCCCTCAGCTCGAGTTCCGGACTCCCTCCGCCTCCGGGCAT